CAAAGGGGCAGTCATTAAGTTGTCTCTTAATGGAAATGGTCGTAGCCTGGCATTTGTGTAGCATGAATGTTACTTGCCATTCGTCAGCCCAAGCCTGGATATTGTCCAGATCTTGATGCATTTGAACATGGACTGCTTGGATATGCAAGGTTTAAATTAGTGTCATCGGCAGGTGGAGCCAGAGCAGCAGATCGGCATGTGCGGTGGTTGCGGAGAAGGTAGAGGTTAAGTCTAATAGGAAGAACAGGCAGGGCCAGGTTAATGACAATGGTGAGACTGGTGGTCTGAAATGTATTGATTTTAATGCAAGGTGTACAACAGGTAAGGCAGATGAGTTTAGAGCATGGGACTGCGATGCTGTAGCCGTTACAGAAACTTTGTTGAGGGAAGGGCAGGACTGGCAGCTCAATGTTCCAGGTTTTAGATGTTTCAGGCATATTAAAGGGGGATGTAAAAGGGACGGGGGATTGCATTACTGGTTAAGAAGAATGTCAGCTCCATTAGGAGAGGACATCTTGGAGGGCTCATCCAGCAAGGCTATACGTGTAGAACTCAGGAATAAGAAAGGTGCAACCACTATGTTGGAGTTATTCTGTTGGCCTCCCAATAGCCAGCAGGAGATAGATGAATGGATATATGAGCAGACCATGAGAAGATGCAAAAACCACAGGGTTGCTGTAGTAGGTGATTTAACTTTCCTGATATTGACTGGAACTCCCTCACTGCAGGGGCTTAGACGGGGCAGACTTTGTTTGGTACACAGAATCCCAACAGTGTGGAAACAGGCCCTTCAGCCCACAAGTCCACACTGACCCTCAGAGCATCCCACCCAGACCCATCCCCCAATAACCCACCTAATCTACACATCCCTGAACAACATGGGCAATTTAGCACGGCCGATCCACCTAACCTGCACATCTTTGGACTGTGGGAGGAAACCCACACAGACACAGGGAGAATGTGTAAATTCTACACAGACAGTCACCCAAGGGTGGAATCGAACCCGGGTCCCTGGTGCTGTGAGGTAGCAGGGCTAACCACTGAGCCACCGTGCCACCCCAATCTATGGGAGTTTCTTGAATTGTAGATAGTCCAACTAGGGAATGGTTTGTACTAGACCTTACATTAGGATTGAGGCTGGCCAGGTGATCAAAGTTTCAGTCAGAGAGCATTTTGGGAACAACGATCATTATTCCAGGAGTTTTAAGATCATTGTGGTTAAGGATAACACCGGTCCTCGCGTGAAAATGGAGGAAAGCTAATAACAACAGTATTAGGCAGGGAATGGAAAAATAGGGTTCCGTAGAGGCCCTGCTTTTCAACCTGTGACCTAACTCCCCACATTCCCTTCACAGGACATCATCTCTATTCCTGCCTATATCGTTGGTACCAATGTGGACCACGACCTGTGGCTGCTAACCCTCCTGTTTCAGTGTGTCCTGTGTCCTCTCAGAGACATCCTTTACCCTTGCACCAGGGAGACAGCTTACCATCCTGGACTCTCGCTCACAGCCACAGAAATGCTTGTCTGTGCCCTTGGCTATAGAGTCCTCATCACTATTACTTGCCTACACTTTGACCTTCCCTGCTATACAACAGAGCCAGTTGTATAGAACAAAGAACAGTACAGGCCCTTCGGCCCACGATGTTGTGCTGACCTATTATCCTACTCTAAGATCAAACTACCCTGCATACCCTACATTTTACTATCATCCATGTGCCTATCCAAGAGTCGCTTAAATGTCCCTAATGTATCTGACTCCACTACCACCGCCGGCAGCGCATTCCACGCACCCACCACTCTCTGTGTGAAGAACCTACCTCTGACATCTCCCCTATACCTTCCTCCAATCACCTTAAAATTATGTCCCCTCATAATAGTCATTTCCGCCCTGGGAAAATGTCTCTGACTATCCACTCTATCTATGCCTGTCATCATCTTGCACACCTCTATCAAATCACCTCTCATACTTCTTCGCTCCAATGAGAAAAGCCCTAGCTCCCTCAACCTTTCCTCATAAGACCTGCCCTCCAGTCCAGGCAGCATCCTGGTAAATCTCCTCTGCATCCTCTCTAACGCTTCCACATCTTTCCTATAATGAGGTGACCAGAACTGAACACAATATTCCAAGTGTGGTCTAACCAAGGTTTTACAGAGCTGCAGCATAACCCGCGGCTCTTAAACTCAATTCCCCTGCCAATGAAAGCCAACACACCATACGCCTTCTTTACAACCCTATCAACTTGGGTAGCAACTTTGAGGGATGTATGGACGTGGAGCCCAAGATCCCTCTGTTCCTTCTCACTGCCGAGAATCCTGCCATTAACCCTGTATTCTGCATTCAAATTCGATCTTCCAAAATGAATCACTTCACACTTTTCTGGGTTGAATTTCATCTGCCACTTGTTTGCCCAGCTCTGCATCCTGTTAATGTCCCGTTGCAACCTACAGCAGCCCTTCACGCTGTCCACAACTCCACCAACCTTCGTGTCATGGGCAAACTTACTAACCCACCCTTCCACTTGCTCATCCAAGTCATTTATAAAGATCACAAAGAGCAGAGGTCCCAGAACAGATCCCTGCGGAACACCACTGGTCACTGAGCTCCAGGCTGAATACTTTCCATCTACAACCACCCTCTGTCTTCTATTGGATAGCCAATTCTGTATTCAGACTGCCAAATTTCCCTGAATCCCACGCTTCCTTACTTTCTGAATGAGCTTACCATGGGGAACCCTATGAAATGCCTTGCCAAAATCCATATACACCACATCTACTGCTCTACCTTCATCGATATGTTTTGTCACATCCTCAAAGAATACGATAAGGCTTGTGAGGCATGACCTGCCCTTCACAAAGCCGTGCTGACTATTTCTGATCAAACAGTGCTTTTCCAAATAATCATAAATACTATCTCTCAGAATCCTCTCCAATAATTTGCCCACCACAGAAGTAAGACTGACTGGTCTGTAATGTCCAGGATTATCCTTATTACCTTTCGTGAACATTTGCCACCCTCCAATCTTCTGGTACTACTCCAGTGGACAGTGAGGACATAAAGACCATCGCCAAAGGGGCAGCAATCTCTTCCCTTGCTTCCCGTAGAAACCTTGGGTATATCCCGTCTGGCCCAGGGGACTTATCTATCCTCATGTTTTTCAAAATTTCTAGCACATCCTCCTTCCTAACGTCAACCTGTTTGAGCATATCAGCCTGTTTCAATCTGTCATCATAAATGTCAAGGTCCCCCTCACTGGTGAATACTAAAGGAAAGTATTCATTAAGGACCTCCCCTACCTCCTCTGAATCCATGCACAAATTTCCTCCACTATCCCTGATTGGCCCTACCCTCACTCTGGCCATCCTCTTGTTCCTCACATAATTATAGAAGCCTTGGAGTTTTCCTTGATCCTACCTTCCAAGGTTTTCTCGTACCCGCTTCTAGCTCTCCTAAGTCCATTCTTCAGTTCCTTCCTGGCTACTTTCTAGACCTCTAGAGCCCTGTCCGATCCTTGCTTCCTCAACTTAAATAAACTTCCTTCTTCCTCTTGACTAGGTGTTCACATGTCTTGTCATCCAAGGTTCCTTCACCTTACCATCCTTTCCTTGCCTCAGTGGGACAAACCTATCCAATACCTGTAGCAAGTGCTCCCTAAACAATCTCCACGTTTCTATCATGCATTTCCCTGAGAACATCTGATCCCAATTGGTGGTCCGTAGTTCTCGCCTAATAGCATTGTAATTTGCCCTCCCCCAATTAAATACTTTCCCATACCATCTGCTCCTATCCCTCTCCATGGCTATAGTAAAGGTCAGGGAGTTGTGATCACTATCACTGAAATGCTGTCCCACCGAGAGATCTGAAACCTGACTTGGTTCATTGCCAAGCACTAAATCCAATATGGCCTCCCCTCTAGTCAGCCTATCTACATATTGAGTCAGAAATTCTTCCTGGACACACCTGACAAAATCTGCTCCATCCAAACTGTTTGCACTTAGGAGGTTCCGTCTATACGAGGGAAGTTGAAGTCACCCATGACAACAACCCTATTACTTCTGCACCTTTCCAAAGTCTGTCTCCCAATCTGTTCCTCAGTGTCTCTGTTGCTATTGGGGGGTCTATAGAAAACTCCTAATAAAGTGACTGCTCCTTTCCTGTTTCTGACTTCCACCCATACTGACTCAGTGGAGAAACCTTCCTCCACGACCTCCCTTTCTGCAGCTGTGATACCATCCCTGATTAGCAATGCCACTCCCCCACCTCTTTTACCTCTTTTACCTTCCTCCCTATTTCTTTTGAAACATCCAAACCCTGGAACATCCAACAACCATTCCTGCCTTCCCAACCATGACCACTTCCATCTAGAAGGACAAGGGCAGCAGATACATGGGAACACCACCCCTGCAAGTTCCCCTCCAAGGCACTCGCCATCCTGTCGCTGGGTCGAAATCCTGGAATTCCCTCCCTCAGGGTGTTGTGGGTCTACATGGAGCACATGGACTGCAGCGGTTTAGCACCGCCTTCTCAAGGGCAACTAGGGACGGGTAATAAATGCTGCCCCAGCCAGCGACACCCATATCCAATGAGTGAGTCAGAATGAAAGTTGGGCCGGCGGGTACGAGATCTGATGGAGGCGTGATGAGCTGAAGGGCCACGTATTGCACTGTAATACTTGGTGATTCTGTGAGAGGACAGAAAACATTTTACTCTGTATCTAATCCGGTGCTGTACCGGTCCTGGTACAGTTTGATGAGGACAGTGTCGAAGGAGCTTTACTCTGTAAATTACTCAATCTTCCACATGTGCTCGGAGTGTTTGCTTTGATGTTGTTTGCTTTGACTGACTCACTGATTGTGGTTTGTCATCATAATGATGTTCCTCAGTGAACGTGCAGGCTTTCAAATGCAGAAATACAGAATGATATCTTTCCATGCTGCTTCATGGTGCAACATACTCTGATTCTTTGAATGTATCAGCAATCAGTTATTTCTCTTTCAGATTACTTGAATAATTTGCATCCAGACAATTCCGAGTATGAAGATACTCAAGGTAAATACAGAGCTACAAATTCAATTTACCGACACAGGACCATAGACAGGTAAAAGGGATTAGTTTAGCTGGTATCATGATGAGCACAGGCATGGTGAGTCAAACGGCCTGTGCTGTACTGTTCTAAGTTTATATTGCACAAACTGCGTGGATGGTTGGTGAAAGTGATGTTGGGGATTTATGGGAATGGTTTTTTGAGGGGTGGGGTGGATTCTGACTGTGTTCCTGAAAGCTCAATGACAGTAGATTCAATAATAACTTGGAGAGTCATCAAAAGGATCTACTAAAGACATGTATTTCTGACATATTCTGCTTTTATTTGGATTTCTGGATTCTCAGCTTCAGTTTTATATTCAAACCTATCTTGGACTGGAGCAGTGATGATGGGGAGTGGGGGTCTGTCTCTGGTGTGGTGTTGGATGGGAAGTGGGGGTCTGTCTCTGGTGCGGTGTTGGATGGGGAGTGGGGTCTGTCCCTGATTAGTTACTAAAACCTGTATTCTTCCTCTGCAGCTGCTCTTTGTGTTGTGAGGACGTTGTGTGAGCAGCTGAGAACGTGCGTGACCCAAGCAGTAAGTTAAACCGTCCCTTTACTGTCTGCCCATTTGTCCGAATATGAAAGCTCAGATTCTAAATGTTGGGTGTTGCCCGGGTGACTTACCCTTGGGTCAATGTGACCGGGGTTATCGCTGGGGTCACTGGGGATGTGATTCGGTCACTGCATCATTGGGATTGTTGCTTAGATCAAAGAGGTCAGGATCACTGGCAACATTGGGGTTGTTAGAAACAGAGGAAATAGGAGAATGAATGGGGCATTGCTCTCTTCAAGATTCCTCTACCATTCAATAGGTCCTGACTGATCATACACCTCAGCCCCCTGCTTCCTCTTTCTCCCCGTACCCTTTCATACGTTAAGAACTGTATCTAACTGACGTCAAGGTTGATGTTGGATTCACCAGGGGATCATTGCTGTGTTACTGGGGTCCGGTGTTGTCTAGCTCACTGGGGCGGTCCTGGGATAATCAGTATCAGTGTTGGGGTCATCATTGCTAGGATCGGTGTCAGATTCCTTGTTGTTCTGTTTCAGGGTAAGCGGGAACACCGTGGTTATTCTGTGTGGTTTACCTGCAGAGTGGGAACTAGTTCTCCTTATTACTGTCAGTATCTGACCAACAGAGGAAAACCAGTGGTGATTGAGCAACCAAAGCTGGTTTCTGACACTCCTCGTACTGTAATCGCCTGCAGCCTCTATCCATGAGATGAAAGTACTTCATCCCTCAGCTGCTTCACAACAGCAACTTCCTGCACTGTTCTCTGAACCTTTTTACACTGAACAGTTCCCAGAGCTGCTGCTTGGATGTTTTCAGAGTCTGTATGTGTTCCATAGCAATTACCTGCACACGTGCACATTTGCTTATGGGAGCGCACTCGCATAGAGTCACAGAGTCATACAGCATGGAAACAGACCCTTCAGTCCAACTCGTCCATGCTGACCAAGTTTCTCAAACCAAACTAGTCCCATTTGGCCCATATCCCTCTCAACCTTTCCTATCCATGTACCCATCCAAATGTGTTTTAAGCGTTATTATTGTACCCACCTCTACCACTTCCTTAAGCAGCTCATTCCATACCTATGTGTCACAAAGTTGCCCCTCAGATCCCTTTTAAATCTTTCCCCTCTCAACTTAAACCTATGCCCTCTAGTTTTGGACTCCCCTACCCTCGGGAAAAAAAGCCTTGCCTATTTACCTTCTCTATGCCCCTCATGATTTTATAAACCTCTATCAGGTCACCCCTCAACTGACAATGCTCCAGGGAAAAAAGCCCTAGTCTATCCAGTCTCTCCCAAAAGCTCAAACCCTCCATTCCCAGCAATATTCTGGTAAATCTTTTTGTACCCTCTCAAATTTAACAACATCCTTCCTATAGCAGGGTGAATAGAATTCAACATAGTATTCTAAAAGTGGCCTGACCAATGTCTTGTACAGCCACAACATGACGTCCCAACTCCGAAACTCAATGCACTGACCGATGATGGCAAGCACACCTAACAATGTGCCATCTCTCACATGTGGATTTGCATGCAAACACAAGGATGGACACACACACATATATACACAAACACACACACACACACATAACTATAATAGATACATACACATACACACATATATATATACACACACACGCACAAATACACACACACACAAATACACACACACACACACATACATACACACAGACACAGGCACACACACACAAACACATACATTTACACACACAGACACGCACACACACATATATATATACACACACATATACACATACACACACGCACACACACGCACATATACACACACATGCACATACACACACACGCACATATACACACACACACGCACATATTCAAACACACACAGACACACACACACAGACATATGGATGCACACTCAAAGACACAAACCCTTGCCAAGAGAGCTCTGTGTTAACGGTCAGGTCCAGCTCATCACTTCTACCAATCCCAACGACAAAGAGGCCATTAGGAATTCTGCGCTTCATTTGTCTGTATTAATTTGGACCCTCGTATGTTCCTGTTAGTAAATGTGCTGCCCCTGGGAGCTACGTGCCATGTCTCTGTAATGTTTAATTTGTACTTAGGAGAATCTACAGAAGCTGTTGGAAGTTGAGCACCGAGTGAATGGAGTGCACCAGCTCTCACAGCCTGGCAGGGTGAGTACTGTGGCATGTAAATCATTGAGTCAGTGTCACTAATGGGAGTCTGCCACACTCTGGCCTTGCTTAGCTGCACAGAGATCAGTTGGAGCTCAAGATCAGTCTGAGACAGGAAGTTTAAACTGTACTGGAGCAGCTGCCAACAGTTAGTGGAGAGAACTTACAGTCCTAAGTCTATAAGTGGCAGCATTGTAAAAGCTCAGTGTTTTAACAGCCGCCTCAGTGAGGGAGGGACTGGAAGGGGCCCCCCTCAGTGAGAGAGGGACTGGAGGGGGTCCCCCTCAGTGAGGGAGAGACTGGAGGGGGTCCCTCTCAGTGAGGGAGGGACTGGAGGGGGTCCGCTGTTCTCTCCTTGGTATTGGTCCAGCAGCAGAAACTGACCTCGGGTATTTGGGTTATGGAAGGGGAAGAGTGGAGGGATAGGAGTGGAGAGGGTCAGAGAAATGTATAAAAGCCTGAAAGGGTTAAGGACTGCAATAAACACCAGCCCATTTGATTTTGTTATATGGACTCAAGAGTGAACAGCTTAGAATCTTGAAGAAGCAAGATCACACATTCAAGTCTCCCTCATCATCTCTGTGAGAATGTCTGTTATGTTGATACAAGTTGCAGCTAATGACTAAAGTGCAATGAATTACATTGTATTGAAGACAAGAGCCTGCTCTTGTTAGACTGCCCAGTGGTTTCCCTCACCACATCAGACCGACCAAGTCCTGTATATCCCCTGGTGGCGGCGAATCTGCTGAATGTAGCTTTCGCTGTAATGTGTTGCATTGAGGATCATCATACTCCAGGCTGTCAATGTGGGCATCGCTTCATCTTGTAACTAGACTGCAAACAGTGCAGATCTGAAGCTTCACAGGTGGCTTTAGGACGGCTTCGCCTGCAGACAGTCAGCAATGAAAAGATCTGAGTAATCAGAATTCTGCTGCATTCCCTCTGTTCTGACTCTAACAGTCCAGCCATCCCTCAGTGCTCTCCTGTCAGAGTGCAGTACCCGCCCTCCTGACTTACCCTCCTGCAGTGCAGTCTTCCATCAACGCTGACCTCAGACTGCTTGGCAAACACTTAGACCATGTGGCTGTCTGTTGGCCTGGACCCTCATGATTCCCCTTGGTACTGCATTGGGATGCTGTGAAAGATGAATTCTGATCACGTGGTAAGACTGCAACCAACTACATGAGAGCAGACAACCAATATTAAAAAGAAAACAAAGACCTGTAGATGCTGGAAAACAGAAATTGCTGGGAAACTCAGAAGATCTGGCAGCGTCTGTGGAGAGAAAGCAGAGTGAATGTTTCGGGTCCAGTGACCCTTCTTCAGAATGCATTGTTAATCTCTTTAGCAAATGGGGGTCTTAAAGGCTGCTGATTTAACTGATTGAATCACAGAATGATTAATGCAGTGTATTACTCCAAACACTCTCTTTCAAGAATCTCAACACCACCCAGGACAAAGCAGCCTGTTTGATTTGTGCCACATCAAACATCTTTAATATCCACCCCCTTCACCACCAACACAGTGGCAGAAATGTGTACCATCTACAAGGTCTAATGGAGTAACGCAGTAAGGATCTTCCAACAGCACCTCTGAAATCCATGACCTGTAACATACAGAAGGACCAGGGCAGCAGTTATGTAAGAACGCTACCCCCTGCAAATTCCCTTCCAAGCCACACACCATCCGTCAGTGTTACTGGATACAAATCCCTTCCCTACAGCACTCAGAGTGCCCCTATACCCCAAGGACTGCAATAGTTCAAAATGCCAGCTCACCACTGCCTTGTCCAGGAGTAAGTAGGGTTAAACAATAAATAGAAATTAGCTTTATTGTCACATTTACTCACTGAGTACAGTAAAAAGTTTACAAGTTGCCACTTACGGCACCATCTTAGGTATCAAGGTACCTAGGTACAGATTCTTAAGTACAAATTCTTCTGAAAAAGAGCGTTTTGAGATCAAGAAAGAATTGATGTTGCTCTTGAAGAGCATTAAGGTAGATAAGTCGCCAGGGCCCGATGCTATCTACCCCAGGTTACTCAGAGAGGCAAGAGAGGAAATTGCTGGGGCCCTGACCAAGATCTGTGTATCCTCGCTAGGCACTGGAGAGGTCCCGGAGGACTGGCAAGTAGCTAATGTTGTTCCTCTGTTCAAACAAGGAAACAGGGACAATCCAGGAAACTATAAACTGGTGAGTCTCACATCGGTGGTTGGTAAGCTATTGGAGAGAATTCTTGGGGGTAGAATTCATACACATTTTGGAAAAGCATGGTCTAATTAGGGACAGTCAGCATGGCTTTGTGCAGGGTAGCTCATGTCTTACTAACTTGATTTAATTTTTCAAGGAAGTGACAAGGTGATCGATGAGGGTAGAGCAGTGGATGTTGTCTACAAGGATTTTAGTAAGGCTTTTGACAAGGTCCCTCATGGTAAGTTCATCCACAAGATTAAGATGCATGGGATCCACAGTGACTTGGTCATGTGGATTCAGAATTGGCCTGCCCATAGAAGGCAGAGGGTAGTGGTGGAAGGGTGTTCTTCTGGCTGGAGGTCCTCAGGGATCCGTACTGGGACCTCTGCTGTTTGTGATATATATAAATGACTTGGATGAAAATGTAGACAGTTGTGTTAGTAGGTTTTCAGATAATACAAAGATCAGTGACATTGTGGATAGTGTAGAAGGTTGTCATAGGATACAGTGGGATACAGATCAGTTGCAGATATCAGCGGAGATATGGCAGATAGTGTTTAATCCAGGTAAGTGTGATGTTCTGCACTTTGGGAGATCAAGTATTAAGGAAAAGTATACAGTTAATGGCAGGACCCTGAACAGCATTGATATACAGAGGGATCTTGGTGTTCAAGTCCATTGCTCCCTGAAAGTGGCCATGTAAATAGATTGGGTGGTAAACTTGTCTTTATTGGTTGCGGAATTGAGTACAAGAGTTAGGATGTCGTGTTGCAACTTTATAGGACTTTGCTTAGGCCACACTTAGAGTACTGCGTTCAATTCTGGCCGCCATATTACAGGAAGGATGTGGAGGCTTTGGAGAGGGTGCAGAAGAGGTTTACCAGGATGCTGCCCTGGATTAGACGATAAGAAGTATGAGAAGAGGCTAGAAAAACTCGGGTTGTTTTCACTGGAGTAGCCGGGGCTGAGGGGAGACTAGATAGAAGTCTATAAAATTATGGGGTGCATAGATAGGGTTGACGGTCAGAATCTTTTTCCCCAGAGTTGAAATGTCTAATAGGAGGGGGCAGGCATTTAAGGTGAGAGGGGGAAAAGTACAAAAGAGATGTGAGGGGCAAGTTTGTTTACGCAGAGAGTGGTAGGAGGGTGGAACGTGCTGCCAGGGATGGTGGTGGAGGCAGATACGATAGGAGTGTTTAAGGGACCGTTAGATAAGCAGATGAATATGTAAGAGTCACGGGATATGGACCAAGGACAGGCAGAAGGAACTGGTGTAATTTGGCGTCACGTTCAGCACAACATTCCCGTACTGTACTGTTCTACGTTCTATGTTCTATAAATTACTGGGTGTAAGTAGTAAGGAAGATAGTCTTGCAGGACAAAGACAGACTGGTTAGATGTGGTGGTCAGTGGCAAATGGAATTCAATTTGATAAGTGTGAGGTGGTGCAATTCAGCAGGACAAACAAGGCAAGGGAATACATGATGAATGTTAGGAACTTGGGAAGCACAGAGAATCAGAGGGACCTTGGTGTACATGTACACCAGTCCCTAATGTATCAGAGCAGGTGGATAAAGTGGTTAAGAAGGCAAATGGGATAATTGTTTTTCTTAGCCAAGGCATAGAGTTTAAGAGCAGGGAGATTGTGTTGGAACTGTATGAAATGTTGATTTGGCTACAGCTAAAGCACTCTGTGCAACTCTGGAATCCACATTACGGGAGGGATGTGATAGCAGTGGTGAGGGTGCAGAGGATATTTATCAGGATGTTGCCTGGGCTGGAGTGTTTCAGTTATGAAGAGAGATTGGACAGACTGGGGTTGTTTTCCGTAGAACACAGGAGATTGAGAGATGACATGATTGAGATGAGTAAGATTATGACAGACATAAGGTAGGGTAGGCAGGGAGAAACTTTTCCCCTTGATGGTGGGATCAGTCATCAGGAAGCATAGATTTGAGGTTTAGAGGAGATGTGAAGAACAACATTTCCACCCTGAGGGTGGCGGAAATCTGAAACTTACAATCTGTATGAGCGATATAGGGAAAACCCCTCATAACATTGCAGATGTATTTAGATGTTCACTTGCAGTGCTGAGACACACTGGCTGGAGAATGGGATTAGAATGTTTAAGTGATTGTTTTTGACCAACGCGGATACAATGGGACGAATGGCCTTTTTCTCTGCTGTGGATGCATATGACCAATCCCTTTACCCCATTAGGTGCTCATCAAGGAAGGAGGATTGCTGAGAGTGACTGAAGGAACACTACAGCCTCGATACTGTTTCCTGGTAATTCAGTTTTGGCTTATTTTGATTTTTTATTTGACAGATCCGAATTAGATGATATTAATATATATACACAAGTTGTGTAAATGTTTCCAAATGATATCATAAAATCATAGAATCTAACAGTGTAGGAGCAGGCCATTCAGGCCATCAAGTTTACACTGACCCTCCAGAGAGCAACCCGCCCAGAACCCCCCTGCTACCCTGTCCCTGTAACCCTGTACATTCCATGGCTAATCTGCCTAGCCCTATTTAGCATGGCCAATTCACTTAACCTGCACATCTTTGGACTGTGGGAGGAAACCAGAGCACCCGGAGGAAACCCACACAGACACAGGGAGAATGTGTAAACTCCACACAGACAGGCACCGGAGAGTGGAATCAAACCCGGGTCCCTGGTGCTGTGAGGCAGCAGCGCTAACCACTGAGTCACTGTGCCACCCGGAGCTGATGCCTACTCAAACCAGGAGATGAATTCTGCGGGTAATGTTGACACTGCTGTTTATAAAGTGGGTGTTTGTCAGGATGTCCGGAGCCCTCCCAAGGCATCGGCAGCTGTCCCCTGCTCAGACTCATGTACGTCTCTTAGACTCATAGTCGTTTACAACACACAATTCAGCTCATCATGTATGCTGTAATCCACAGAGATCTGACTACACAGTACTAACAAAATCTGGAGCTTGAGTTGCTCCAGCCAGAGGTATCTCCCGCACACATAGCCTTATAGATTGCAAGAAGTGTCTGGGATATCTCACATAGTGCAGGGTTTGCAAATCACAGGCCTGAGCTCCCCATTTCATACTGAACTAAATACAGTGCGGATCCTTTGCTCTTGTTGCTACTTAAGTGTAGACTTAAATCTTATTCCTAATAATGTCCAAAATCCCTTTTAAATCCTTCTTCAGGTGTTAGTGGGAGAGGTAGTATCAGACACAGAATTTATAAGTAAAAGCTCAAAGGTTCACACTACTGATGAGGATGTACTTAACAAACCTAAAATGCTGTTAAATCCTTAATCAGTTAGAAGGGTTTAATTGATTAATCGGTATATGTAAATCCCCAAATTCCTGTCAAGTCACTGACCTGAGAGAACTAAAGGTTTTATCAGTGTAAAGAAGATGTGATATTTTAGGTCAGACAATGCATGTTGGGTGTGTGGCCTTGTTTAGAATCTGTTTGTGTTTTGGTTTGGAGTCAGACTGGTTTTATTTCTAAAGTAGGATTTATAAAGCATCACATTTACTGTCTATAAATTGTGTGCTTTTCGAACAAAATAGAATGTATCTGCAAATAACAATTCACTCCATAGATTCACTGTGTGTGTGTGTGTGTGTGTGTGTGTGTGTGAGAGAGAGAGAGAGCGACTTTGTGCGTGTGTGTGGGGGGACGATTAGACAGAGAGAAAGAGTGTGTGTGAGAGAGAGAGAGGGGGGCGGGGGGCAAAGATGGAGAGAGTGTGCATGTGTGTGTGTGTAGTGCGACATGAACCCAAGATCCTGGGTGAGGCTGTCCCCATGGGTACCGAACTTAGCTATCAGCCTCTGCTCGGTGACTCTGGGTTATTGTGTATCCCGAAGTCCGCCTTGGAGAATGTTTACCTGAAGATCCGAGGCTGAATGTCCTTCACCGCTGAAATGTTCCCCCACTGAGAGGGAACATTTGTGTCTGGCGATTGTTGCACAGTGTCCATTCATCTGTTGTCGTAGCATCTGCATGGTTTCACCAATGTACTATGCCTCGAGGCATCCTTGCCTGCAGCGTATGAGATAGACAACATTGGCCGAGTCACATGATTATCTGCTGTGCATGTGGTGGATGATGTTCCCACGTGTGATGGTACTATCCATGTCGAAGATCTGACATGTGTTGCAGAGGTTGTGACTCGGCCAACATTGTATATCATATACACTTAATTCACATGTATGTCCAACACCAGCACCATCATACCTTTTTGATCTGTTAGTGATCTGTTTGCTTTGCTACAAGAGTTCTCATCTCACCCGCTGCTCTCGGTGATGCCTACTGCCCATCACAGGGTCCTCATCTCACCCGCTGTCTGGGTATTTCCACACTGCACTCCATCTACAGAGGGTGCTGCAGACATCGTACAGCTTGCCAACTTTAACTGTTTCCATCAGCAATCTGGACATGGAGTGCAGTTTGCTGTCAGCCCCTCCAGATCACTGCCTCTCACAGGATCTTCACCTCACTCACTCCTCTCAGTGGTGCTGACTGCTTGTCACTGGGTCCTCTGGTTGTGCCCAGACGGGTCTATCCTCTCAAAGATAGATTCCCTGTTTGTGTCCCACATGTTCTCGGTCAGATCAACCAGCATCAAGTCGGTGTTCTTCTCTGACCACTGCCTCCTGTTGGCTGACTGTCACCTACAGGGTGACCAGCTCCTCTCAGTGACGCTGACTGCCTGTCACAGGGTCCTCACTTGCCCCTCTTCTCCCCCTGGCTCTGTGTTCTCACTGAGGCAATCCCTGTTTTTTTATCTGGTATTGATCATCATTGAGAGTAATTTTGAAAAAGATCACTACACAAGGTCTTCAAAGCACACAATGGGTGAGTTACCACAGTGAGTGATTGAGGTAAAGACCAAAGGGACCCAGGTGTCCCACTCCTCGCCTCCTAATGAATGCCTCCCCTCCACGTGTCCCCGGCTCTCAGCTACTCTCTGATCTTCCTGTAATTGTGTTTGGTCCTTAGTGTTGTGTTTGAAACCCCTGATTCAGTCAGTGGCTGGGATTCACTGATTGGAGCCGGGGGGTGGGGTTGCTGTTCCTGTGACTGGATTTGACATTCACCGTAACGCGGCAGGGTCAGTAATATTTGATTTTCCTGCACAGCTCAGCGACATGTTCCTGTACACTGCGCCCCAGCATAGTTGGAAATATCAACTCAACAAGACACTGCCGCTGCATGGCATGAAGGTAAGAGACAGATTCCCCACCACCACCTGGAGAAATAATTCGCAGAATAGAATAGAATAGAATCCCGACTTGTGCGTGAGAAGTGGAAGGAAACAAAGGAGATATTAGAGATAGTGTGGAGCTTGGGAGTACAAACCAGTCATAAAATACATGAGCAGGACAGAAGCTGGGAGCCCTGCAGCGAATGATTCCGCACCTGCCTGATATGGGTGCAGCTCTAACACTGAAGGAAGATCTGACCTGGATAGACCAGAAGTGCTGGTTGAGCTAATCATTGTATTTCAGACTGTGGAGCAGCTGAGCATCACTAGAGGGTCCTTTCTGTCTAACACCATACAGTTTATGGAGAAGATATCCCCCTCACAGCCACATTTCACCCCCACTCCCACTCTGGGACAAGAAAGAGATTGATGTGACATCTTAAACATCAACGTGGATTTATAAAAGCTATGATTTTTAACTGGCCGCTTAAATAAATATACTGTTCAAGAATATTACTTCAGTCTGCTGCCCTAATTTAGTAGCATTTTGTTTTAGCAATTCAGAGACAACAGTGGGATGTAGAAGATTTCAGTATTACATTTGTAACCATGCATTTAAAGAAGTCGATACCGCAAACAAACAACATTTCAAACATTTCACGTGAAAAGTTTTAAATCCTGAACTTGGAGGTCATTCCCTCCCCATTCCTTCGAGTCTGCTTGTGGCGTATCTGATTCTAAGGAATCTGTGTTGACATGACTGTCCCTTAGATACTGAAATAACTCCACAGAGGCTGGTGCCCTGTCCCCATATCACCCTTTATTTTTATGTGGAAAGTTCTTGACACTGACCCGGCCCCCTCAGAGCCAACTCTCAGAGTGAACGGAACCTCTGACGCTCCTGTTTATATCTGTCAGCCAAGGCTCCCTGATTGGACCAAGTTAACAGACCCAATCAGGGAACTCACATTCTATCAGGTCCCCTCACTAACCCCATTACAATGATCACACTGATGTTTGAGCAGACAGCTAGGCAGTTTACTTGGGGCTTTGGCTTTTTCCTTCCTGCTGTTTGAGCTTTGACCCTGCCTTTTCCTTTCATCTCCAATTTGGACACTGTCGGTCTGGACATTCGCACAAATCATTGAGAGTATTGCGATTGTTCAGGGAGGCTTTGCTTGCTGTGATGGAGCTCTGGAGAGAGACAGAGAGCTTGTTCTGGAAATTTTGTGGCAGGCATGCGGAAGGTGTGATCTGGCCAATGCAGCTGATTAACAATGAGACTGGGGTCTGTTATTGAAGTGCTGTCCTGGCAGTGGATTTGCAGGATTCTGCGGAGCCATCACTGGGGATATCTCCCTGAGAATTTGAGGTATCTGCTGTACATCATCCATGTCTCCTCCACGGGTAACACTGCTACTGTGTACACCATCAGCTTGGTGTTGGGTTTGGGGTCATCGTTCCTCAGGCCTTTGTTCCTCAGTGGCACATGGGAGATGATTTCTTTCGTGCGCTCACTATGATTTGTTGCTGTGCTGCATCCAGACATCAGCATGGATACTTTTGTGAGAATTCCATTTAGCCTTTCATTCTCTTACCTGCATGTAAAGAATTCCACAATACTTTCTGATTATCTGGTAAATTGTTCCAGAATCCAACATTATTCTACAACAAGCAATTGTTTGAATGCGGTTTGAATCGATACTTTGCACCATTAACTGTTCTTCGATTTTGCATTAGTAATTCAAATTTAATTTAAATCTGTCAGGTTGAATGCAGGTTTATTTTATGAAACAGTAACCACTTAGAACTTCCTGTTTTAACAAGAATGATACAGTGAAACAATCATACCAGTATTGTCTCTAGCACTATGGAGTACAAAGCTCTGATTGAAATTTCTCTCTACCACAAGGACTAATCACCCAGAATTTCAGGCCACATCAAATTTTCCTCAGAGAGAAGTGTTCTCTTCACTTTTCATGTGAACTTCAATGTTTTCCTAGTTCTCAGGCCAAGGTGACACTTTCAAGTGATCACTTGTTGTTTTGAGGACACTAGCTTTCAAGTTCTTGATAAACTAACACATACAGGGAGACTATGTGCGGGTCTTACCAACTTTCAGTCAGAGCTGAAAGATGACCCAGAGTCCCAGACTGTGAAACATATTACATCAGCTTTCCCACATAGATCTGATACCAGATACCCCACCTTGCCTTTTTGGTCTCACAGAGGATAACCAAACTAGATACCTCTTCCAAATTTCTTCCCGGAATATCAGTGGTAAGAATATTGAACTGTATTATGAATTCAAAATGTTTCGATTGGGCCTTATTTAACCAGAATAATTGTGGTAGCAGAATAGTAAATGATCAATGATTTCAACTGAAAGTTTGATAGACTTGCTAGGTCTAATGCTAATGTTACTGCCAGAGTAAGGGTTTGAGCTAGAGTTAGAGCTCATGCTCGGATTAGGGTTAGATTAGGGTTAGGTTAAGGGTCAGGGTTTAGTTTTAGGTTTACGATTAGGTTAGGGTTAGGTTTAGGGTCAGGGTTTAGTTTTAGGTTTACGGTTAGGTGTGGAGACTGAGCAGAGAGCAGTGAGAGTGACTAGAATGCTCAGCAGGCTGTTGTCGGGGATTCGATTACCTGAATTTTCACTTTCTGTGCCGCAAATAATTCCAAATCTCTCAAACTTGAGATCTGATTGGCTTATTCCCAGTAACATGTTAATTGCGCTGCTTCATGCTTCATCGGGAATGTGAAATCAAGTTTGCAAATGAAATGGTACGAACACTTGAGAAAAAGACATTACAAAACAAGATGTACACCAAAGATGGGTAAGTGGGGTGTACATAAAGACAGTATGGAGTATAGTGACAGATGGAAGGATGTGGGGATGTTGGGAATTAGGTGACAAGGAGGGGAGGGAGGGGTTGGATTTTATTGGGAAAAGGGAAGCCTAGTTTGGAATCTTACTAGACCCAGATGAAAAAGAGACAGTAATACATTGAATTGAACATTCTTCTTCATTTTGAAGTGTATAAGATGAGCCAGACCAGTGCTGTGCTAGTCACAGGTTTTTCCTGATACCTCCTTCTGAAGAGTGCTGTGAGTGGGTGTTGCCACTGGAAGATTGCTCAAGATGTATGCTCTGAAGCTCTGACTCCCCCGTTTGTTGTATTGGCAGGTGAGCAGAGTGCCTGTCGAAGAGACTGAGACGCTACTGAAGATCCAGAGTGTGCGAGGCTCCATCACACTCTGTGCCAGGTAACTGCAACGCCATGACAGAATTATCACACTTGATTTACATGCTAATGAGGCCACTCTCATAAAAATGTAACATTAAACATGAAGCAAGAGACATGCCAGTTGATGAATTATTCCAGCATTCATCTCCCGTCACAAAGCCAGTTTTGGATCCATCTTGTCAAGTTACCCTGGATCACATGAGCTTTTGCCTCCTTTATCAGTTTCCCACGTGGGACCTTGTCAAAGGTTGTGCTGAAATCCATATAAACTGTATCAACTGCACTATCCTCATTCAAACATTTAGTCACCTCTTTGAAACGTTCTACCAGATTTGTTAGGCATGATCTCCCTCTGATAATGCCATGCTGACTACCTCTGATTAAACCTTGCCTCTCTAAATTTCTCCTTCAGAATTTTCTCCAATAGTTTCCCTATCATTGTTGTTAGACTCACTTGTCTGTCGTTCCCTGGTCTATCTCTACCACACTTTTTTTATAAACTGGAACCATATTAGCTGTCTTCCACCCATCTGGCATGTCTTCCTTGGCTAGAGTCAGTTTAGAAATTTGGGTCAGGGCCCCTTGATTTCTTTCCACATCTCTCCCAGCAGCCTGGAAACAACATATCTGAACTTGGGGATTTGTCCACTTTTAAATCCGCCTAAATCTCTAATACCTCCTCATTCGTGTATCAAAATGCTCAAGGACCATATAATCCATCTTCCTGAATTCTGTACTTGCAACATCCTTCTCCTGAGTGAAGACTCATAGGAATTAAATATTCATTTAATACACAACCAGTGTCCTCCGACTGCAAGCACAGATCTCCCCCTTGGTCCCTGATGGGTCTTACTCTTTCTCTGGTTATTCTCTGCCCCTTGATACACGTGTAGAATATTTTGGGATTCTCTCTGATTTTACCTGCCATGATTTTTCATATCCACATTTTGCTTTCCTAACTGTTTTCTTAAGGATCCCCCTGCACTTTTTACATCCCACTTGGGATTTTTTGATTTACTGCCTTTATTCCTATTGTACATCCTCTTTTCCTTTTTATCCAGCTCTGAATATTCCGAGACATCCAGGGTTCTCTGTTCCTCCTACATTTCACCCTAATGTTGCATGTACTCTCCCCAGTACCCGTTTTGAACACCTCCCACTGTTCTGTAGATTTACCCTGCAGCTATTATTCCCAGTCTACTTTGGCCAGTTCCTGCCCCTTTTTAATAATTTCTGCCTTACCATAATCCAAAACCTTTTGCAGAGCATCTTCTTTCCTATCCATAACAAACTTATGGTGTTGTAGTCACTATCACTAAAATATTCCCCCATATTCCCTCAAACACTTGTCTGGCTTTGTACCCCAGAATTAGGTCCACTGTTGCACCGTCCCTTCTAAGTCCATCTACATATTGAGATAAAAAAATGTTCTCCTGTATACATGTCAAGAAATCTGCCCCCTCTCATCTCTTCTAACCATGACTATCCCAATTAATATTGGGGTTGTAGAAATTCTCTAATCATAGAATTTTATGGTAAGAAGGAGGCTAATCATGTCTGTGCTGACTACCCATCTAGTCCCATTCTCCAGCCCTATCTCCATAGCCATCTAACTTAGCCCCTTTCAAATGTATATCCAGCTCTCTTTTGAAACCTCGTGTGGAATCCACCTTCACCACTCTGCCAGGCAGCGCATTCCAAATCCTTTCAACTGAGTGAAGAAGTTTCTACTCATCTCACTCCTAGCTCTCTTGCTGATGATCTTGAAATAGTGAACCCCTAGTCACAGGCATATCAACTAGTGGAAACAGTGTATCCATCACCTTGTCATAATCGTTCATGATTTTGAACACCTCGATAAGGTTAATCTTCACTGCTCCAAAGAGAGCAGTGAAACTTGGTTGAGGAAGGGATAGGACTGACAGCTCAATATTCCAGACTATAGAATCTTCAGGCAGAAAAGAGGCAGGCTGTAAAAGGGAAGATAGTGTCAGATTATTAATTAAGGAGTCAGTTACTGCGGTAAAGAGCGATGATATCTTTCCCTGTATCTAAAATCCCTCATTCCTGGCATTAGTCTAGGATGTTGCTGAGTATGGAAGCTTTGAGTTATAGTGAAAGGCTGGATAGTCTGGGACTGTTTTCACTGGAGCCTGGGAGGTTGACAGGCGACCTTATAGAAGTTTATAAAATAATGAGGAGTATAGATAGCGTTAATGGTAGGTGTCTTTTCCCTAAAATGGGGGATTTCAAGACTAGGGGACACATTTTTAAGGTGAGATAAGAGAGATTTAAAAAAGATGAGGGGCAAATTTTTTGCACAGTGGGTGGTTCACATGTGGAATGAACTTCCTGAGGAAGTGGCGGGTGTAGGTACAATTACAACATTTAAAAGACATTTGAATAAGTACATGAATGGGAAAGGTTTGGAGGGATATGGGCCAGGAGCAGGCAGTTGGGACTAGTTTAGTTTGGGATTATATTTGGCATTGACTGGTTGAATTGAAGGATCTGTTTCTGTGGTGTATGACTCTATAAATGTATTTGTAATTAATATAAATTATATATATATAATATAATAATATATAAATTATAAATAAATATATTTACTCTATTATTATTTTTGGACACCTCAGTGAACTGACTACATATCTGCTCCTCAATTGCCTACTGTCTGTTTTAGGGCCTAATAATACACTCCTATAAGTGGGACTGCCTGCTTTTTAATTCCTAAAGTCTACCCACAAAGCCTCATTTGAAGACTCTTCCAAGATATCCTCTTTACTGCAGTAACTGACTCCTTAATTAATAATCTGACACTATCTACCCTTTTACAGCCTGCCCCTGTGCTGGCTGAAGATCCTGTAGTCTGGAACATTGAGTTGTCAGTCCTATCCCTTCCTCAACCACGTTTGTGATGACAACAACATCGCAGTTTCACTTGTCAATCCACATGCTTAACACATCTGTCTTTACTCTAATACTTCCAGCTTTCAAGTAGAGGCCATCCAGCCTTACCTTACTCCTTTGAGACACCACGTGGCTAAACTCCTTCTGCCTAAGCTCCTTTACCAAGTTATATGATTTTGCCGTTAAAATAACACACTGTGTTCCCTGTCCCTGTTGAACCAATTTAAACTCCTGCCGACAGCACTAGCAAACCCTCCCACAATGGTCCCATTCTGATTCAGGTGCAGACAGTCCTGCTTGTAGAGGTCCTACCTTCCTCAGAAATGATCCCAATTATCCAGGAATCTAAAACCCTCCCTCCAGTACCAGCTCTTGAGCCATGCATTTATCTGCTCTCTTCCATTTCTGTAGTCATTGGCAGATGGCACCGAGAGGTCCTGCTTTTTAATCTACTGCCCAGCTCCCTGAAGTCTTGATGCAAGATCTCATCCCTTGTTCTACTGATATTATTAGTACCAATGTGCACTACGTCCTCTGCTTTGTCACCCTCATGCTTCAGAATCCCCTGCAGCTGCTCATTGATGGCTTTGACCCTGCACCAGGGAGGCAACACACCATCCTGGAGTCTCATCTGTGGCTGCAGAAATGCCTGTCTGTTCCCCTAATTAATGGATCACTTATCTCTACCATTCCTGCTTTCTCCTTCCTCCTGTACAGTCAGGCCACTCATGGTGCCAGAAGCCTGGCACTGTCTGCACTCCCTTGAGGAACCAGTACCCTCCTCAGCTTCCAAATCAGAAAACTGATTTGTAAGGGGACCCCAGGGGATTCCTGCCTGTTTCTCCTTGACTGCCTTGTGCTTACCTGTTCTCTTCTTTCCTCCTGTCCCATCACCTCTCTAAACATAATACCCACATACCTCCCAGCCTTGTGGATGTGCCACTGTGTCTCCAGCTGCCACTGGGGCTCTGAAACCCGGAGCTAAGGTTTCTGCAGCTGGAGCCCTTCGTGCACACATGGTCATGGCGGATACCAGTAGGCTCCTGTGACATCCTTCATATGGGAGGTCATACATTCCACTTGGATGCCCTTGCCTACCATGATCCAAACTCAAAGTTAGTTTTACTCGGTAATTTTTCTGATTACTTCATCTAAAAGATACCTCCCCTTACCTTTCCTCTGTTATTCTCCTTTTCGTATGCTGACTGTTACATATTTCTAGTGCATTTTTCTTTTCAGTTTATCCCTCTTTGTTTTTACACGTTTTAAATAACTGATATGTACAGTTAATCCCTAAAGATTGTTGCTTACAAGCCAATCAGCTCGGTCCTGTCCTTAGGTGTCACTCGGATATTGTTATTTCTCCTGTTTACATTCAATCTGGAAGCAACTTTTAATAGATCTTTTTGTCTTTCAATCAGCACTACAGCTAGGAATCTTTTTGCTAGCTTCTAATGCTTTAGGTTCTCCTGACGTAGTTGAGATGGACCCTGTCTTTAGAGTGTCTACAGGATTTTATCTTTCTTGGTACGCAACAGCTGCTGTAGTTCATCTCCATATAAGCTCATTGTCTCTTAAATTTCAGCAAGAACTTGTCACCATGAATTAGCAGTCAACTAGTTGTTTGGTAGTATAGTACTGAAGTATTGCTGAAAAAAGCATATTTTGCTAAAACATTTTGTCTTCCACTGATCAAGAAAATTGATAAGAATGCCAATAAAGAGTAAATCCAATATTTTACACTGTACGATGAGAGAGTGCTGATTGATGGAAAACGGAACTTGATTGGTAGAGGCCTTGCCAAGGAGAATGCAACAGTTAATGATGATTGACAGTTCACTGTTAGGTGTTGCTTAAATTGTAAACCAGGCAGGTTTACTCTGTTCAGAGAAATGAATGGCTTTGTTTAGTTGAAACAATTGCAGAATGTGTCCAGTTTGATGTCAGTAATTCTTTTTTATTTAGTCAATCATGATTAATCTAACTTTTCTTTTGTCAGCTCCTCTACAGAACGTGATGAGTGGCTAGCTAATATCAGCAAAGCAGCAGATGATTATCAGAGGACACAGACACTCTTGGGCCTGAGAGGGAATGCTGAGGTCAGTGTTGCAATAGAGATCTCCCTCATCATTACTTCCCGGTGTTGATACAGATCATAGTTCTAGCAAACATCTCATTGTGTGAGGCAAACAGACAAAGTGATTTTGTTCTCTTTATTCCTCAATGCAAAATTGTCATTCCTGGCAAGATCAACATTTGTTGCCCATCTCAAATGGCCCTCAAACTGAGTGGCACCTTTTGCGATTTCGGAGCGTAGATAAGAGTCAGCCATGTTGCTATGGGTCTGGAGTCACACGTAGGCTGGAAAGGTAAGGATGGAAGATTTCTCTCCTCAAAGAATGTGCACAAATGGGATGGGTTTTTATAAACAATCGATTATAACTGCTATGTCAACCATCACGGAGATTAGTTTTATAGCTGAGCTTTATAAACTAAATTCTACTCACTACCATGGTAGGACTTGAACTCTGAGTATTAGCCAGGACCTCTGGATTAGTTCAATGACATTATAACAATGCCACCACCTCCCCCAGCTGTATTTATACTTGCTGAGAATTTAAAGCTAAGTGGAAAATAAATTGTAAGAAGGACACAGAGAGGCTTCGAAGAGATGTAGACAGGGTTAAGTGAGCAGGCAACAAGGTGTTGGATGTGTTATAATGTGGGCAAAAATGAGGTTGTTCAAAAACACACTGACTGTGATCTTTCTGTGCACTTTCTCTGTAGCTGTAATACTATATTCTGTATTCTGTTCTATTACCCTGATGTACTTATGTAAGATACGATTTACATGCAAAATAATACTTTTCACTGTGTCTCAATACATGTGACAATAATAAATCAAAAATCAAAATTTAAATCAAATCAAATCAAATCAAATCAAAAACTCAGCAGGTTTGGCAGCAGCCGTGGAGATAGAAACAGAGTTAACGTTCTAAGTTTGATATGACTTCTTCCAAACTTGAAGGTTTAAACCACTGTCAGCATTCCACAGGGACTATTCTGTTTGCAACAGTCTAGTCCACTTCTCCATCACTTCTAACACTTCCTCATCCAATTCCCTCCCAGGCCACCTTCCCATGCAATTGCAGAAGGCATAATATTCACCCTTTCCCTTCCTCCCTCCCTCACTGTCCCGATGAAGCAGTGTTTTATCTGTACTCCTTTCAATCTAGTCTACTGCATTTGCTGCTCACAATGCAGTTCCGTTACAATGGGGAAACCAAAAACAGATTGGGTGACCACTTAGCAGAGCACCACCACACTGTCCGTGGGAATGGCTCTGGCCTTTCAGATGCTGCCCTTTCAAGACACCACCTTGTTTCTGTGCTGGGCCTGTCACAGCATTCCAACAAAGCTGGAGGAACAACGCCTCATTTTCTGTTCAGGCACCTTACAGCTTCTAGGACCTAAAGTTAAGTTCAACAACTTCAAAGCATGACTTCCCTGATCCATTTTCATTATGTATCCCCTCCCCTTCCACAGCTCTGGTCTTGTCTTGTTTGTGTCGTGTTGGCTTTGCTTTTAGCGCACTGGTTCCATTCTCTCCATTTCACACCTATGATTTACATCTGTTTCACATCTCTACATCTCCTTTATCACCATTAGCAATCTTTTGCTTTGGGCATCCTTGTGATCTATTCTACTCCACGTCCCCCTTTGTCAATACCATTTTCTAGCCCTTTCAATTCTGAAGAAGAGTCACATCAAGTTTGAAATGTTAACTTTCCTTCGTTTTCCACTGATGTTTTCCAACCTGCTGAGCTTTTCCAATACTTTCTCTTTCTATTTCAGATTCCCAGCACCTGCAGAATTTTATTTTTATTTGAATGTTTAACACACTGTCACTTCTGCTTCTCTCTCCAATGGAATTTCCGTTTGAATTTTTTGGCTTGTTCACTTATTTCCCTCCTTGGGTTTGATAAAGTATTAGCCAAAACTTGTTCTTACAGCCACATCTCCTTCCTCCTTGACTGTCTCTGGCTCCACCATTTGTTGCACATTTTGCAACTGAAGTCTCCATCCTTCATGTTTTGAACCCATCCAAGATCACTGGTACCTCAGAGATATAGAATGTTCCCAGATTCTTATGCTCCCACCATATCCTGAGATCCACACTCAGTGCCATGTGGTGATACGTGCATGCTCTCAAACGGTCTCTGAAGCAGGACTGCCTCAAACTATCTCAAAGCTGCTCCTTTCATTCTTCATCTCAGTTTGATATTTTAACAGGAAACTTCTTCTCTTCCTTTCAGGTATTAAGGAATACAAATTCCAAAAATTCACAAGTACTGAAATCTCTCTAGATTCTTCCAACCCTTTCACTCCGAATTCATCCCTTCTTCTAATCTCTCCTCTTGACATACATTCACTGTACCCTCTGACCTTCTCCTCTCTGTTGTTGGATGACCTGCGCTCAGCTCCCTTTATGCTCACACCTAAATGAATTTCAGGAATGACTTAACATTCATTGTTTGCCTTTACCTTTGTGCCTTCTACTTTGGACAGGAGTCCTCACCCTCCTCCACTGACCCTTCCAACTGTATGCAAAACTCCTCCAGTACTTGGACCCCTCCCTCTGGCCTTTGCCTGCACTTGTGGAATCATAGAGTCATGGACCTGAGAGGCAACTTCTTTCACATAGGGAGTGGTGTGTTTGTGGAATGAACAGCCAGAGGAGATGTAAATTTGAGAGACATTTGGAGAGTTCTGTTACTGAAAAGAGACATTGATGGGAAAGGTTTAGAGGGATATGGGCTAAATGCAGGCAAATGGATCAAGTTCAGTTTGGGAAACTTGGTTGGGATGGATGAGTTGGGCCAAAGGGTCTGCTGTACAAGACATTGGTGAGGTCACATGTGGAATACTGCGTACAAATCCGGTTGCCCTGCTGTAGGAAGGACATTATTACACTGGAAAGGGTGCAGAATAGATTTACAAGCATGTTACCGAAACTGTAGGGTTTAAGTTAAAAAGTGAGGCTGGTACTTTTTCCCCTGGAGAGTAGCAAGTAGAGGGTTGACCTTGTAGAGCTTTATAAAATCACCAGGGGCATAGATGAGGGGAATAAGATAACAAGGTGTAGAGCTGGATGAACACAGCAGGCCAAGCAGCATCAGAGGAGCAGGAAAGCTGATGTTTCGGGTCTGGACCCTTCTTCAGAAATGGGGGAGGGGAAGGGGGCTCTGAAATAAATAGGGAGAGGGGGAGGTGATGATGGATGGTGGATAGTGGAGCAGATAGGTGAAGAAGAGACGGACAGGTCAAGGAGGCGGGGATGAGGCTAGTAGGTAGGGAGTTGGCATGGAGGTTGGTCAGTGAGGTGGGAGGAGTGGATAGATGGGAGAAAAGACGGACAGGTCAAGGAGGCCCGGCGAGGGGGGTGCTGGCCTTGGGATGAGGTCGCGGTTGGGAGATTTTGAAGCTTGTAAAGTCCACATTGAGACCATTGGGCTGCAGGGTTCACAGGTGGCATATGAGGTGCTGTTCCTCCAGCCTTCAGGTGGCATTGTTGTGGCACTGGAAGAGGCCCAGGATGGACATGTCATCCAAGGAGTGGGAGGGGGAGTTGAAGTGGTTCGCGACTGGAAGGTGTAGTCGTTTGTCACGAACCGAGCGTAGGTGCTCCACAAAGTGGTCTCCGAGCCTCCCCTTGGTTTTCCTGATGTAGCTTCAAAATCTCCCCACCCCCGACCTCATTTCAAGACCAGCACCGCCCTCTTGTCCCCTCCTCCTTGACCTGTCCATCTTCCCTCCCACCTACCCGCCCCTCCCTCCTCACTGACCAACCCCCATCCCAACTCCCCACCTACACTCACCTTTACTGGCTCCATCCCCGCCTCCTTGACCTGTCCGCCTTCTATTCATCTATCTGCTCCACTACCCACCTTCCATCATCACCTCCCCACCTCTCTATTTATTTCAGAATCCCCTTCCCCGCCCCTATTTCTGAAGAAGGGTCCAGACCTGAAACGTCAGCTTTCCTGCTCCTCTGATGCTGCCTGGCCTGCTGTGTTCATCCAGCTCTACACCTTGTTATCTCAGATTCCAGCATCGGCAGTTCCTACTATCTCTGAGGGGAATAGCCAAGATCTTTTCCCCAGAATCATTCAGTACAGAAGAAGCTCATTGACCCATCAAGCCTGTGTTGCTAAAAGTATACTATTACCTGGACAATTGCACTTTCCTGCACAAGGCCCGTTACCTTGACTGTTATTATGCTTCACATGCTCATCCAAGTACTTTCGAACGGTTGTGAGGTTTCTTGCCTCAGCTACCTTCCCAGGCATTGTATCCCAGACCCCCACCACCCTCTGGCTGAAAAGTGTTTCCTCAAGCTCCCTCTAAACCTCCTTCCTTTCACTTTATAAATTATGCCCCATCGTTATTGGCTCTTTAACCAGGGGAACAGCTGCTTTCTATTCACCCTGCACAAGCCCCTCAAGCTCTGTGCACCTGTATGAGTCACCTCCCTCAGCCTTCTCTGAGCTTATCCAGCCTCTCTCAATCCACAGGTTTCCTGACCCTAGCCACCTCCTCTTCACCATACAATTCCTCCACAAGTCCATTCCCCACAAGGATAGTCTGAAGACTCTCCACTACTTTCTGGAAAAAGAGGCCTGCACAGGCATACACCACTCTCCTTCACCTGGCTCAGCTTGATCTCACTTTGAAAAACTTCTTTGTTTTATTTCAGTTAAAGGAGAACTGCAGATGCTGAAGATTCTGAAACAAAAACAGAAATTGCTGGTGAAACTCAGCAGGTCTGGCATCATCTATGGGAAGAGAGCCAAGTTAACATTTCGAGTCCCCTGACTCTTCACTATTAATCCCCGTTCTCAATTTCCCAGGCATCCACCCAAATCTCTTTCTCTGAAACATCAATGACATCATTAGTGCGGCTTCATGCTCTTGTCCAGAATTGGAAAAATTAATTAGCTTTTCTTCCAGTTTCCATCTTGCTTCACCTTCACCTGTTCCATCTCTGAGTCCTCCCTTCATTCCTTGACTTAACTGTTTGCATTTCTGATGATAGGCTGTCCTCCACTGTCCACCACAAACCCACTGTCTCCCACAGTTACCTTAACCTTACATCTCCTCACACCCTGCTTCCTGGAAGGACTCCATTCCCATTCTCCCAGCTTTTCTGTCTCCATTGCATCCGTCTGATGATATCATCTTCCACACAAGGATTAGGGACTGATTAGGAACTGAAATGAGAAGTTTCTTTCAAAGAGTTGACAATCTTTGCAATTCTCTACCCTGGATCGTTGTGGAGTCTCCAACGTTGAATATATTTAAAGCTGGGTTGTGCAGATGTTTGGTCTCTCAGGAACTCCATTGATATAGGGAGTGTGTAGGGAAATGGAGTTGAAACCCAAGATCAGACATGATCTCATTGACTGTTGGACCAGGCTTGATGGGCAGAATGATCTGCTTTATTTCTTATGTTCCTATGTTTTCTGTGTATGGTGGGGAAATAACCTTCAGGAAGAATCTTTAGCAGTCTTTCTGTGCCACACAAGAAAACTCCAGATATGCCAACCACCTGTCAGCAAACAGTTGAATCTCTCACAGTCAGATCTGGTGAGGAGGCAGGAACAGCACAGCAGGTCAGACAGACTGAAACATTGACGTGCCTGCTCCCCTGACGCTGTCTAACCTGCTGTGCTTTTCCAGCCTCACACCTATAGACTCAGGTTTCCAGCATCTGCATCCTTATTGTCGCCTGGTAAGGAGGCAGGCCTGGTGTGAGGTGTGCAGAAGCATTACAGTGTGCTGACACAGTTGGTGAGTGAGCTGCTGCATTAAAGGATGGGGTAACTCCTATTTGACTGAGGATTGACACTCCTGACCTTTTCCCCAAGGGCATCCTACAGGGTCACAGCATCAGGAAAGCCAGAAAATAATGCAGAAGCAGAGAACTGATGACTATAGACAATACCTGGCTTGTGTTTCTTTAGTAAATGTCCTGTCACATCTCTGAGATTGCTCCTCCAGACTAGACTATCAAATCCTTTAGATCCTGTTGTATGTTGCAACTAGGAAAAGAGCCAAGGCTAAGACAACATGATTAAAATGTGGGGCCAGTTTTTCCCACTGAACTGCAAAATCACTCACACCTCCAGAAGAAACAGATACACACATTCTTGATGATGGGGTAGGACTATGGTCTGGACTCTGAGCCAATTTGAAGTTATAGCCTCTGTGTTCACTGTACTCTGATCCAACTACAATCTTGTTGCCTCCCAAGATCTTTGTGAATTTAATGGCTGTCCTCACTGTGTGCCCTCTCTCCAGCTGTTCTCAGAGAAGACTGACAGTGGTCTGGGTGCCAAGCCACCAATGCTGATCCCTGACTCCCGAGTGGGGATGTGTATGATCTGCTCAAGTGACTTCTCCCTGACATGGAGACGTCAACACTGCCATGCATGTGGGAAGGTAGGTCAACGCTATCATTGCCCTATCAGAAGCCACTTACAACTACTGCATACATTTATATAGTGACTTTAACATAGTGAAATGTAGCAACATGATTCGTTGGAGCAAATAGAATCTGACGTGGAACCATGGCTGGAGAAACTCAGCAGGTCTGGCAGCATCTGTGGAGAGAGAAACAGAGTTAGCATTTCAAGCCTGATATGACTGTTCTTCGAATGGCCTGTTCTTCAGAAGAGTCCCTGGACTCAAATATAAACTTTGTTTTTCTGTCTCCACAGATGCTGCCAGACCTGCTGAGTTTCTCCAGCCATTCTGCTTTTATTTCCAGTCATCAGCATCTGTGGTACTTTTCTTTCAAAGGCAATGTCAGACAACCAAAGGTTGCTTAAAGAGGAAACTCAAGACACAGTGTTGAAGGCACAGTGTCGTAGAGATTTATAGAGATTAGAGTGGGAGTGGTTTAATTCAGGGGTGCACACGAGGCCTGATCTAGAACAGCACAAATATATCAGAGAAAGTGGGGCTGGGGGGAAGTTACAGAGATACAGAGGGAAAGATCATGAAGGGATTTTGAAATATGAAGTAATGTTTTGAAAAGGAAGTGTTGCTTGACCAGGAATCAGTGTAAAAACCAAAAGAACTGTGGATGCTGTAAATCAGGAACAAAAACAAAGTTGCTGGAAAAGCTCAGCAGGTCTGGCAGTATCTGTGGAGGAGAAAACAGAGATAATGTTTCAGGTCCGGTGACCCGGTCACCGGACTCAAAACGTTATCTCTGTTTTCTCCTCCGCAGATGCTGCCAGACCTGCTGAGCTTTTCCAGCAACTTTGTTTTTGTTCAGGAATCAGTGTAGGTCAGTAAAACGGGGGGTGGTTGGGAAACAGGATTTGACAGGGGTCAGGACCAGGTGGTAGATCTTTGGTGACTTCAGGTTTACAGACAGCAAAATATGGGAGGATTGGAATAGTTGAGTCAGAAGATAATAAAGAGAGGAAAGAGGGTTTCAGCAGGTAATCTGCTGAGATGGGGTGAAGTTGAGGAACTTTATACAACTGGAAATGGGTGGTCTGAGTGATGGAACAAATATGTGGTTGGAAATCGGCTTGGGGTCCAAGATGACCAAAGGGTGTTGCCTGGGCTGGAGATTTTCAGTATTGGAAAGAGTTTGGACAGACTGGGGTTGTTTACTTTAGAGTGGAGGAGATTGAGATGTAGAAAATATAAGGGACATAGTTGGGGTATACAGGAAGAAACTTTTCCCATTGATGGAGTGATCAATGACCCAGGGGGCATAGATTTAAGGTAAGGGGCAGAAGGTTTAGAGGAGATGTGAGGAAAAACGTTTTCATCAGAGGGTGGTGAGAATCTGGAACTCACTGTCCATCAGTGTGGTAGAGGCAAAACCCTCATAACATTGAAGAAGTATTTAGATGTGCCCCTGGAAAGCCAAGGCACAAGGCTATGGGGCAAATGCTGGAGAATGGAATTAGATTAGTTGGGTGGCTGTTCTGACTGCCGTGGACATGATGGGCCGAAAGGCCTTTTTGTGTGTTGTAGACCTCTTTGATTCTAAAGTTGTTTGTCACGTTGGATCAGCTTGAAATAGTTATCAGGGAGAGATTTGGAGCTGGTGGCAGGAAGCAAAGACAATGGTTTTGATATTTTTTAGTTAGAGAAGGTTTTTTGTTTATCTGAAATTGAATGTCAGACAAACAATGTAACAATTTAGATTCAGTGTAAGGATTGATGGAGGCGGTGGCGGAGGTAGGACTGGATGTCATTAGCGTACATGTGAAAATTGACAGTCTGTAGTTGAAAGGCTTTGCCAATGAGATGCAGCAGGGGCTCAAGGATAGTTTCATGGGGGAGCAGAGTTAATGGTGCAGAAACAGGAAATCAAGCCATTTCAGGTGATTCTCTAGCTATGATGGGAAAGCAAGAATGGAACCAGGTGAGACCAGTCCCACCCAGATGGACAATAGGAGAGATGTGTTAAGCAAGTTGATTGTGGTCACCGTGTCAAATGCTATAGACAGGTTAAAAACGACAAAGAGGGAAAGTTAATCCTTGTCAGTTACACAGGATGCCATTTGTGATTTTGTTTCCATACTGTGGCAGGGGCAGGTACCTAATTGGAGGGATTTAAGCATAGAGTTTGGGTGAAGGTGGCAGTGGGAGATATGACACATTGAAAGGATGCAAAGCTTTGGAGGGGAAAGACTGGAGGTAGGACTTTTAGAGAGTAACAAATGAATACGATTGCACTCACATTCTGTCTGGTCTGCCTATTGCAGGTTATATGTCGAACATGTTCCAGGAACAAGTATCCACTCAAGTATCTGAAAGGCAGGATGGCCAGAGTGTGTGACCAGTGCCACAGGGAGCTGAAGAGAAAAGGTAATACCAGTATCTCATAGCACGGGGTTGAGGGGAGCATCAATTACTTGAGAGGTGGGAGTGATGAGGGAGTCCTGCGACATGATGGAGGAGCCAGGACACTGTTATACTGGAGGAGGAGGGGTCATAGAGTCATAGTACGTACATAGGCCCTTCAGCCTAACTTTTCAGAACTGAACTAGTCCCATCTGCCTGTGTTTGGCCTAAATCCCTCTAAACCTTTCCAATCCATGTACCTGTCCAAAAGTCTTTTAAATGTTGTAATTGTACCCACCTCTACCACTTCCTCTGACTTTTTAATTATTTCACAGGATGAGGGCATCACTGGCTAGTCCAGTATTTATTGTCCATCCCTAATGGCCCAGAGGGCAGTTAAGAGTCAACCACATTGCTGTAGGTCTGGAGTCACATGTAAGCCAGACCAGGTAAAGATGGCAGTTTCCTTCCCTAAAGGACATTAGTGAACTAGCTGGGTTTTCCCAAAAATCTGCACTGGATTTATGATCATCATTAGACTCTTAATTCCAGATTTTTTTTATTGAATTCATATTCCACCTTCTGTTGTGGTGGGATTAGAATCCTGGTATCCAGAACATTATCTGGGTCTCTGGATTAACAGTCCAGTGATAAAACCACGAGGCCATTGTTTCCCTGTCATCTGTGGGGGGCCGGGGGTGAGGCTTGTAGTAATGTGAAAAAGCTGGGAGGGCACAACATAATGCACGGCCTCTTTAATGCATCCTGTATTATATGCTCGAGCACTTCATTGTGTCCTGTTCTGGGTGCAATACTTTAGAAAGGATATGAACTCATTAAGGAGGTTCCCAGCAATGAGGAATGTCTGTTATGTCACCTGATTGGAGCAACTAACTTTTCTCTTAACATAGAAACATGGAAAATTGGAGGAGTAGGCCATTCAGCCCTTCAAGCCTGCTCAGCCATTCAAAATTATCATTTTCGATCATCCAACTCAGTCCCCTTATCCTGCTTTCTGCCCGTACCCTTTAGCCCGAAGAACTCTTATCTAAATCCTTCTTGAAAACATTCAATGTTTTGGCCTCAACCATTTTCTGCAGCAGAGAATTCCACAGGCTCAGCCCTCTCTGGGTGAGGACATTTCTCATCAGCTCAGTCCTAAATGCCCCACCCTGTATCTTTATACCATGGATCCCTTGTTCCAGACTCCACTGTCATCGGAAACATCCTTCCAGTGTTTATTCTGTCAATCCCTGTTAGAATTTCTAAGTTGGAATATTGATTTCTAACAGATCTCCTCTTATTCTTCTAAGCTCCTCTCTCAAGTGAGAAGAGAGGGCTGAGGAGAGATTTGATACAGGTAAACAAAACCAGAAATGGGTCTGGACAGAGTTGATGGAAGGAACGAGAAAGAACAGATGATGTTGATGTAAGATGAATGGAAATAGAACTAAAGATTGCATGAGGAAACATGTTTGATTGCAGTGAGTGGTTAGATTCAGGAACAGACTGTTGGGAGTGTGTCATAAAGTGAGAGCGATCTATAGCACGCATCCAGTCTGGACCCATCAAAAATAACTACCTAACTATTCTCATCCCATTTTCCAGCACTTGGCCCATAGCCTTGTATTCCTTGGCATCACAAATGCACATCTAAATACTTCTTCAATGTTACGAGGGCTTCTGCATCTACCACCCTTACAGGCAGTGAGTTCCAGATTCCCACCGCTCTCTGCGTATAAAAGCTTTTCCTCACATCTGCTCTAAACCTCTGTCCCTTACCTTAAATCTATTTCCCCTGGTCATTGATCCCACCATCAAAGGGAAATGTTTCTTCCTGTCTACCCTGACTGTGCCCCTCATAATTTTATACATCTCAATCATGTCCCCTCTCAGTCTCCTCTGCTCTAAGGAAAACCAAAACGTCTCTGCAGCCTCTCCAGTGCTACCACATCAATACTGTGGATTTCACACAATACTCCAGCTGTGGCCTAACCAAGAACCTCCCTGTCCTTTAAATCTATGCCTTGACTAATAAAGGTAAGCATGCCATGTGCGCTTTAACTGTTTATTCACATGTCCTGACACCTTGAGTTCTGATGGACATGCACACTAAAGTTCCTCTGATGCTCGGTGCTTCCCAGAATCTTACTGTTCATTATAGAGTCATAGACCCACAGTCATACGGCACAAAAACAGACCCTTCTCGTCCATGCTGACCAGGTTTCCCAAACTAAACTAGTCCTACTTGCCTGCGTTTGGCCCATAGCTCTTTAAACCTTTCCTATTCATGTACCTGTCCAAATGCCTTTTAAATGTTGTAACTGTACCTGTATCTGCCACTTCTCTGGCAGTTCATTCCACATACACACCACGCTGTGTGAAAAAAATTGCCCCTCAGGTCCCTTTTAAATCTTTCTCCTCTCCCCTTAGAATTATGCTGACCAGTTTTGAACTCCCCTAGGGAGTTCTAGGGAAAAGACCTTTGCTGTTCATCTTATCCATCCCCCTCATGATTTTATAAACATCTATAAGGTAACCCCTCAACCTCAACGCTCCAGGGGAAAAAGGACCCAGCCTCTCCTTACAACACAAATCCTCCAGTCCCGCTAACATCCTTGTAAATCTCTTCTGCACCCTCTCCAGTTTAATAATACCCTTTCTACAACAGGGTGACCAGAACAGTACACAGTACTCCAAAATTACTGTATTACCTTGCTTTGTTTGTGCTGTCAAAGTGTGATGCAGGTAAATACAATAACAGCTTTTCAAAAAAGATAAAAGAAATGCTGGGAATGCTGGAAATCTGAAACAAAGCCAGAAATTATTGGAGAAATTCAGCAATCAGGCTTGTTTTTATTGCTCAGACCTTTGAGAGTAGGAGTTGGGACATCATGTTGAGGTTGTACAGAATGTTGGTAAGGCCTGTTCTGGAGTACTGTGTGCAGTCCTGATTGCCCTGTTATAGGAAGGATATTATTAAACTGGAGAGACTTCAGAAAAGATTTACCAGGATGTTGCCAGGAATGGAGGGTTTGAGTTATAATGAGAGACTGGATAGGCTGGGGCATTTTTCACTGGAGTGTAGGAGGTTGAAAGGCAACCTAATCAAGGTTTATAAAATCATGAGGGGCTAGATAAGGTGAATAGCCAAGGTCTTTTTCTTAAGGCAAGGGAATTCAAAACTTGGGGGATATTTTAAGGCGAGAAGAGGAAAATTCTAAAAGGACATGAAGCGTAACTTTTTTTTTACACAGTGTGGTTAGTGTGTGGAATGAACTGCCAAAGAAAATGGTGGATGCAGGTACAGTTACAACGTTTAAAAGACATTTGGATAAGTACGTGAATAGGGAAAGGTTTGGAGGGATATGGTTAAAACACAGGCAGGTGGGACTACTTTAGTTTGGGAACATAGTTGGCGTGACTAGTGGACCAAAGGGCCTGTTTCCACACGGCATGACTCTACGACTGTAGGTCTGGCAGACTCTGTGGAGAGAAAGCAGACTTAAGGTTTTGAGTCCAGTGACCCTTCTTCAGAACTATTAATAGGTATGAAAAAGGTGTTATACTTGTTGAGGACAGAGGGTGAGGACTGGGAAGGAGTGCACAAATAGGTGGAGATGGAGCCCAGAGAGAGAGAAGGATAGTTAGGCAGACAAAGGGATGGATAATGGATAAGCCAGAGAAAAAGAAAAGATGATAGTGGGACCACAAATAGGTAAAAATAGCTTGCCTCTGCTGAAAGCAGCCCATGTCATAATGGGGCCTGGGGTGTGGTGGTAGGTAAAGGACATCAAGGAAGGTGTTCAGATTATCAAATTATTGAACTCAATGTTGAGTTCTGAAGACTGCAGGGTCTCTAAGCAGAAGATGGGATGCTGTTCTTCCAGCTTGCACTGAGCTTCCCTGGAGTACTGCAGCAATCCCAAGACAGAAATGTTGAAGTGGCAGGCAAAAGGAAGTTTAAGATGATTTTTGAGGAAGAAATGTAGGTGTTACACAAAGTGGTTGTCTAGTCTGTATTTCAGCTTCCCAGTGTAGAGGAAACCACGTTACAGTAGACTAGAGAGCTTTGGATAATGAGGAGGGAGGAGGGTTGCAGGGGATGTTGGGAGTAGAGGAGTAGACTGTGGTGTCCTGCAGGCAATGGTCCCTGTGGAAGACTGATGAGGAAGGGGAGGGGAATATGTATCTGGTTGTGGCATCCCACTAGAGGTGGCAGAAATGGCAACTGATGATCCTTTAGATGTGGATGCTGGTGGGGTGGAAAGTGAGGGCCTGAAGACCCTATTGGTGTTGTGGGAGGGAAGAGAAGGGGTGAGGGCAGAAGTGCAAGAAATGGATCGGATGCAGCTGAGAGCCTTCTGAACCTCATGACCCAGAATCCTTAGTTGAGGAAAAAGATGAATATTTCTCAAGCCCCAAGCCTGCCCGACGAAGGTGGCATCATAGAACAGATGCGACAGAGCCAGAGAAACTGGGAGAATGGAATGGAGTTTTTACAGGAAGCAGGGTGTGAGGATGTATAGTCAAAGTAATTAACTGTGGGAGTCAGTGTGTTTGTAGTGGATATTAGTGGCCAGTCTATCCCCAGAAATAGAAACAGAGATGTCGAGGAAGGGAAGGGAAGGGAGGAGTCAGAGATGGACCAGGTGAAGGTGAGACCAGGCGAGAAATTGGAAGCAAGATTGGTAAGTTTTTCCATTCTTCATGAGAGAAGAAACCAACACCGCTGATGTCATTGATGCACCAGAAAGAGTTGTGAGAGGGACCTAAGTAAGATTGGAACAGAATGTTCCACATAGCCCAGAAGGAGCCAGCTATAACTGGGGCCCACGCAGGTACCCATTGGCACACCTTTGATCTGAAGAAAGGAGGTGGAATTAAAGGAGATGTTCCTCAAAGTGAGGACGACCCCGGTCAGGTGGAGGAGGTGGTAGATGGGATGGTTCAGGCCTTTATTTCACAAAGAAGCGTAGGGTCGTAAAGCTGTTCTGATTGGGGCGGGGGGGGATGCCAATAAGGTCCTCCTGGTCCTCACTTTTCTCCTCACTACCATCCGCATATAAAGAATCAAAAGCTGCCATTACCTCCACCTCCAATAGGATGCTATGACCAGATACATATTCCCCTCCCTTTTTTTTGTTGACATAGAAACATAGAAGAGAGGAGCAGGTGGAGGCCATTCGAGCCTGCTCCACCATTCTTCACGATCATGGCTGATCATCCAACTCAACAGTCTAATCCTGCTTTCTCCCCATAACCTTTGATCCCATTTGCCCCAAGTACTATATTTACTCACCTCTTGAATACATTCAATGTCTTGGCATCAACTACTTCCTGTGGTAATGAATTCCACAGGCTTACCACTCTATGGGTGAAGACATGTCTCCTCATCTCCGTCCTAAATCGTTGACCGCAAATCCTCATACCGTGATCCCTGGTTCTGGACACATCATCAGGAACATCCTCCCTGCATCTACCCTGTTTAGTCCATTAGAATTTAATAAGTCTCTATGAGATTCTCCACCCCAACCCCAACCCCAACCCCAACCCCAACCCCAACCCCATTCGTCTGAACTCCAGCCAAAACAATCCTAACCTAGTCAATCTCTCCTCATATGTCAGTCCCACCATCCCTGGAATCAGCCTGGGTAAACCTTCACTGCACTCCCTCGAGAGCAAGAGCATCCTTCCGCAGAAAAGGAGATCAAAACTGCACACACTATTCTAGGTGTGGCCTCACCAAGGCCCTGTACAACTGCAACACATCCCTGCTCCTGTACTCGAAACCTCTCAAGATGAAGGCCAATATACCAATTACCTTCTTTACCGCCTGCTGCATCCACAACCGTTCCTTGACAACACTTCCTCCTCAATCCTGTTTGGTCGTGGTGACTGTGCCAATGCAAATCTTCAACCCAACAGCCAATCAGCATCATCGCCGCCATCTGCTGGACACTTCACAGGGATTCCTTCCACCACACCCTATCGTCAACATATATACCGGCTTTTCCAAACTACTACCAAAATATTAACTCTGCTTTCTCTCCACAGAAGCCAAGAGGCCTGCTGAGTTTCTCCAAAAATTTCTGTTTTCAAAAGAGCATCAGATTGTGATCCGAAGATTGGCAGAGTTTGGGGAGCAGGAGTAGCTGAGTCGGTTATTGAAGAGAACCAGCAGTGAAATGACTGGCAGAATGACTACGTTCTATGCTATAACTATTATTGAGTCATAGAATCATATAGCACGGAAAGAGACCATTCAGCCCAACTTGTCCATACCGACCAGGTTTCCTAAATTAAACTAGTCTTATTTTGCCTGTGCTTGGCCCATATCCCTCTAAACCTTTCCTATCATGTACCCGGTCCAAATGCCTTTTAAATGTTGTAATTATACCTGCCTCTACCACTTCCTCTGGCATCTCATCCCATAAGCACACCACCTTCTGTGTGAAAAGGTTACTCCTCAAGGCCTTTTAAATATTTCCCTGCTCACCGTAAACCTATGCCCTCTAGCTTTAGACTGTCCCACCCATGGGAAAAAGACCTTGGCTATTCACCCTATTCCATGCCCTTCATGATTTTATAAACCTCTATAAGGTAGGCCTTCAGCCTCCTACACCCCAGGGTAAAATGTCCCAGCCCATCCAACCTCTGCTAATAACTCAAACTTTCCAGTCTCAGTAATAACCTTGTAAATTTTTTTTTTTGCACTCTTCCCAGTTTAATAACATCCTTCCTATAGCAGGGTGACCAGAATTGTATGCAGTACTCCAAATGTGGCCTTACCAATGTCTTCTACAGCCGTAATGTGAGATCTAAACTCTTGTACTCAATGCTCTGACCGACGAAGGCAAGTGTGCCAAACGCTGCATTCACCACCCTGTACGCCATCCTCACTTGAACATGCCTTTTGAATCTTGTCTGCAGAATTAATGACAGTGAATGAAAAGGCTCCATCGTTATTCACTCGCTCACCAGGCACTACCATCTCGTCAGTGTTTCACAGTTTCCACACAACCTCCCTCCGCAAACAGAAGAGGGTTCCAATGGCTCTGAAGGAGGTAGGCCAACCGCACACAACACCTATCTCCCACGTGAGACTGACCCCGGGGAGTGGGGTGGGGAGGAGCCTCTCACTGTGTGTGAGACTGACCCGGGATGGGGAGTCGGTGGGGGAGCCTCTCCCTGAGACTGACCCCGAGGGGAACCTCTCTCTGTGACCGATCCCGGGGGGAGGCCTCTCTCTGTGTGTGTGAGACTGATCCTGGGGGAAACCTCTCTCTGTGTGTGTGAGACTGATCCCGGAGGGGAGGTCTCTCCCTATGTGTGAGACTGACCCCGGGGAGAGACCTCTCTGTGTGTGTGAGAGACTGATCCCGGCGGGGGGGAGGTCTCTCCCTGAGACTGACCCCAGGGGGAGACCTCTCCCTGTGACTGATCCCGGGGGGGAGACCTCTCCCCGAGACTGACCCTGGTGGGGGAGACTCTCCCTGTGTGTGAGACTGACCCAATCCCTGTTCTTTGCCTTCTTTTCTAATGAGATATTTGGTGCTTGTCAGATTGAAGCCTCAGCTGAGGGAGTGTCAATGAGTGGATATCTCCAGAGGTGTAAGAGGAACAAGAGACATTGGAAGAAACTCTGGTTTGTCATCCATGAGAAGGTGCTGTACACATACAGAGCGAGTGGTGTAAGTATTGTCAGCACAATTCTCTTCCTTTACCCCTCTACTTTCTCCTTTCATCTCTCTTATTTCTCCCTTTACTCCTCAACCTCTCCCCCACCTCCATAGGGATCAGTGCTGGGGCCTCAACTTCTTACAATTCATATAAATGACTTGGATGAAGGGATTGAAGGTACGGCAGGTACATTTGTGGATGACACAAAGATAGGTAGGAAAGTAAATTCTGAAGAGGACATAAGGAGAGTAGAAAGGGAGTAAATGGAGTATATTATGATTAGCAATGAATTGAAGCCAATTGGGTAAACACAGAATTCTTCACATGCAGCATATCTAAGTCCCTGCTTTGCATACTCCAGCCAGATTCTATGTAAACACATCTTACTTGGGTACTTGTGACACAAACAAAATGGTCAGAAGTCGATTTGAAATTCAACACAAATTTTATTCATAAAACACACTGAAGATACAAAAGGCTGAATATTATCCAAAACCCTGCTCTTTTGCAGTAAAACTTCCGATTCTTACATTAATGTTGTAATTGAAAGAGCAATTAAGTCTTTGTTCCAATCCTTATCTAAATTAGTACTGGCTACCAGACTAGGACAACATACTAACCATGCAGTCACTCTTGGCCAGGCTGTGTAGTCAGCTCTGATGCTCTTGATGAAGCCAATCAATCTTCGATGTCAAGGTCCCTGCATTCCAACGGGATCCCCACTGGGAGAAATATAAAATTCAGCAGAGGAGGACAAATGGTTTAATTTGGAAAGGGAAAATAGAACATGAAAGTAAACTTGTGGAAAACAAAACCTGACTGCAAAAGCTTCTATAGATATGTTAAGAGAAAAAGATTGGTGAAAGGTTCCTTGCAGTTAGAATCAGGTGAATTCAAAACGGACAACAAAGAGATGGCAGACCGGTTGAATTAATACTTTGAATCTGTCTTCACTAAGGAGGATATAAATAATCTTCAGGAAACGCTAGGGGACAGAGGGTCAAACATGGAGGAGGAACTGAAGGAAATGCTTATTAGTCAGGAAATGGTATTGGGGAAAACTGATAAATCTTTAGGGCCTGATGCTCTGCATCCCAGAATACTTAAGGAAGTGGCCCTAGAAGTAGCAGATGTGTTGGTGATCATTTTCCTGCATTCTGCAGACTCTGGAACAGTTCCAATGGACTGGACGATAGCTAATGTAATACCACTCTTTTAAAAAAGGAGAGAGTAAAAATGGGGAATTATAGGCAGGTCAGCCTGACATTGGTGGTGGGGAAAGTGCTCGAGTCAATTGTTAAACGTGTAATAACTGAGCATTTGGAAAGCACTGACAGAATTGGTTCTGGTCAGCATGGATTCACTAAAGGGAAATCATGCTTGACAAATTTTCTGGAGTTTTTTGAGAATGTGACCAATAGAGTGGACAAGGGTGAATCAGTGGATGTTATATATCTAGACTTTCAAAAGGCTTTTGACAAGGTTCAATGCAAGAGATTAGTAAGGAAAATTAAAGCTCATGGTATTGGAGGTAATGTATTGACATGGATAGAGAACTGGCTGGCAGAGAGTTGGAATAAATGGGTCCTTTTCAGAGTGGCAGGCAGTGACGAATGGGGTGCTGCAGAATTCTGTGCTGGGTCCTCAGCTGTTCATAATATATGTTAATGATTTGGACGAAGGAATTGAATGCCATATCTCCAAATTTGCAGATGATACTAAGCTGGGTGGCCGTGTGTGCTGTGAGGAGGGTGCTAGGAGGCTGCAGGGTGACTTGGACAGACTGGCTGAGTGGGCAAATGCCATATAATGGGGATAAATGTGAGGTTATCCACTTTGGTTGCAACAAACAGGAAGGCAGATTATTATCTGAATGGTGGCAGTTTAAGAAAAGGTGAGGTGCAATGAGACCTGGGTGTCATGGTGGAACAGTCACTGAAGGTTGGTGTATAGGTTCAGCAGGCAGTGAGAAAAGCTAATGGCATGCTGGCCTTCATAGCAAGAGGATTTGAGTATCGGAGTAAGGATGTTTTGCTGCAGTTATACAGGGCCTTGGTGAGGCCAAACTGAGTATTGTGTGCAGTTTTGGTCTGTTAGTCTGAGGAAGGACATTCTTGCTTTTGAGGGAGTCCAGCAAAGGTTCACCAGACTGATTCCTGGGATGGCAGGACTGACATATGAGGAAAGACTGGGTCGACTGGACTTGTATTTGCTGGAATTTAGAAGAATGAATGTCATAGAAACATATAAAATCCTGATGGGACTGGACAGGCTAGATGTGGGAAGAATGTTCCCGATGTTGGGGAAGTCCAGAACTAGGGGTCACAGTTTAAGAATAAGGGGTAAGCCATTCAGGACTGAGATAAGGAAGAATTTATTCACTCTGGGAGTTGTGAACCTGTGGAATTCTCTCCCACAGGAAGCTGATGGGATTAGATATATTCAAGAGGGAGCTGGACATGACCCTTGTGGCTAAAGGGATCAAGGGGTATGGGGAGAGGGCGGGAATGGGATACCGAGATTGCATGATCAGTCACGATCGTATCGAATGGTGGTGCAGGCTCGAAGGGCTGAATGGCCTACTCCTGCAGCTATTTTCTATACCATGTATGAAAGATTCTGGGGCTACCCTCAGTATCCATCCTCCAGTGCATCAAGAGCATATCCCCCTCTTCAAACATGGGCACAGTGGGGACCCTGAGCATACTCCAATACATAAACCAGTCTCATTTTCCAGGGCAAACCCAGGCTTGTCCTTGCCTGCCTTTGTCTTGTGTGGAGACTTTGTTCTTGACCTGTCCTGAAAGTCACATCAGCCTGGCTGCTCAAAAGGTTGCCCCACTCTGGTTACAGGCCTAACCATTCAGGGCCCGGTCTATCTGTCTATACTGTGAGAGTGTAACAAGTAGAGTGGGGAAAGGGGAACCAATAGTTGCTGTGTATTTGGATCTCCAAAAGGCATTGAATAATATGTCACATAAAAATTTTTAGGATGACAGGAAACGAAGTTGAAATAAATGGGTCATGTTCAGACTGGCAAACTATAACTATTGGAGCATCACAGTGATTAGTGCTTGGCTTCAACTGTTTACATTCTACATTAATGCTTTGATAAAAGGCCTGTACTGACCAAATGAATGGGAGTAAATGCTGACAAGTACATGTCTTTTATTTTTCTCTACCTTTGAAGAGTGAAATGGGAAAAGGACTGTTTTAGAAAGGATAGAACATAGAACAGTACAGCACAGGAATGTGACCTTCGACGCACGATGTTGTGCCGAACATGACACCAAATTAAACTAACCCCTTCTGCCTGCCTTTGGTCCATATCCCAAAAATTAAGGAATAAAAACCAAAAAAAAAACAGTTGGAATTACGTACAGGCCTCCAAACAGTAGTCAGGAGCTGGGGAGCAAGATACACCAGGAGATAGAAAAGGTGTGTAAGAAAGGCAAAGTCACAGTGATCATGGAGGATTTCAATATGCAGGTGGACTGGGAAAATCAGGTTGGTAGTGGATTGCGAGAAAAGGAATTTGTGGAATGTCTACGAGATGGCTTTTTGGAACAGCTTGTGGAACCCACTAGGGAACAGGCAATACTGGATTTAGTGTTGTGCAATGAGGCAGACTTGATATTATGATCACTAAGTTCCCATATGATTGAATTTACTCTGAAGTTTGAGAGGGAGAAGATAGAATCAGAGGTAACGGTATTACAGCTGAATAAAGGTGACTACAGAGGTATGAGGGAGGAGCTGGGCAGAATTGACTGGGAGAGGAGCCTAGCAGGAAAGACAGTGGAACATGTACAAAGACAGTGGAACAGCAATGGCAGGAGTTTCTGGGAGTAATTCAGGAGACGCAGCAAAAATTCATCCCAGGAAAAAGAAGCATGGTACAGGGAGGATGAGGCAACCATGGCTGCCTAAGGAAGTCAGGGATAGCATAAAAGCAAAAGATAAAGCATATAATGTGGCGAAGGGCAGTGGGAAACCAGAGGATTGGGAAGCTTACAAAGACCAATAGAGTGCAACACAAAAGAAATAAGGACGGAGATTAAGCTAGTGAATAATATAAATGAGAACTGTAAGAGTTTCTTTATGTAAAGGGCAAAAGAGAGGCAGAAGTGGACATTGGACCACTGGAAAATGACGCTGGAGTGGGGTAGTGGGGAACAAGGAAATGGCTGAGGAACTTAATAGTTACTTTGTGTCAGTCTTCACAGTGGAAGACACGAGTAATATCCCAAAAATTCAAGAGAATCGGGGGCAGAGCTGAGTATGGTGGCCATCACCAAGGAAAAGGGGCTAGTAAAACTGATTGGCCTAAAGGTGGACAAATCACCTGGACCAGATGGACTATACCCCAGAGTCTTAAGGAGATAGCTGAAGAGATAGTGGAGGCGTTAGTGGTGATCTTTCAGGAATCGCTAGAGTCAGGGAGGGTCCCAGAGGACTGGAAAATCGCTACCATGACACCCCTGTTTAAAAAGGGAGTAAGGCAAAAGACAGAAAATTATAGGCCGATTAGCCTAACCTCGTGGGTAAGATTTTGGAGTCCATTGTAAAGGATGCGATTTCTGAATATTTGGAAGTGCATGGTAAAATAGGGCAAAGTCAGCCTGGTTTCATCAAGGGGAGGTCGTGCCTGACAAATCTGCTGGAATTCTTTGAGGAAGTAACGAGCAGGGTAGACCAAGGAGAGCCAATGGATGTTATTGGCCTGGATTTCAAGAAGGCCTTTGACAAGGTGCCACATAGGAGGCTGCTGAGTAAGACAAGGACCCATGGTGTTAGAGACAAGGTGCTAGCATGGATACAAGATTGGCTGATTGGCAGAAGGCAGAGAGTGGGGATAAAAGGGTCTTTCTCAGGATGGCAGCCGGTGACAAGTTGTGTTCCACAAGGGTCAGTGCTGGGACCACAACTTTTCACTTTATACATTAATGATCTCGATGAAGGAACTGAAGGCCAAATTTGCCTTCAAATGCAGAAAGGAAGGCAAGCTGTGATAAAGACAGAGTCTGTAGTGGGATATAAATAGGATAAATGAATGAGCAGACATTTAGCAGATGGTGTATAATGTGGGAAATTGTGAAATTGTTCATTTTGGAGAAGAGAAAAGCAGAATGATGTTTAGAGAGATACTGCAGAATACGGTAGAACAGAGGGATCTGGGTTTCCTTGTACAAACCACAAAAAGATGGTATGCAGATATAACACGTGATTAGGAAAGCAAATGGAATATTGCCCTTATTGGAAAGGGGAGTATAAAAAGTAGGACACTTTCTGCTATTATACAGGGCAATGGGTGAGGCCAAACCTGGAGTACTATGTACACAGTTTTCCTTACTTAAGGAATGATATCACAGAATTGTTACAGCGCATAAGGAGGATGTTCAGCCCATAGTGTTTGCACTGACTGTCTTTGGCACCAGTTTAAAATGCTAATCTCTTATCTTTTCCCTGCGACCCAGATCATTGATCTATAATTATTCAGTGCCCTCTTAAATGCCTTAACTGAATGCTCCACCACACGTCCAGGCAGATTGACAATGCTAAATTATCTGTAGTGTCCAGGGATGTGTAGACTAGGTGGGTTAGCCATGATAAATCTGGGCTTATGGGGACAGGGTAGGGGCTGGGTTTGGGTGCAATGCTCTTCAAGAGTTTGGTGCAGACACAATGGGCCGAAAGGCCTCTGTACGCACTGCAGGAATTCTGCAATACCAAAATTCAGTGCATTCCACACCCTAACTACTCACAGAGTAAAAAGAAAAAGAAGTCTTTTCTCACATTTGCCTCTTTTGCAAAACACTTTAAACTTGCGCCGTCTGGTTCTTGATCTTGAGTGGGAATAGTTTTGCCCTACTCTGGCCAGACCCCTCATAATTTTGAAAACTCCATCAGATCCCCTGTTAGCATGCAAGGAAAACAAATTTCTTTAACATTTCCTCAACTAAAATGTCTCATTCCAGGAACCACACCCGTAAATCTCTTCTGTACTCTCTCTCCCTCCCCCAATCCTTCTTACAGTGAGGTGCCTAGAACTGTATACTTCGACTCCAGCTGAGGTCTAACCAGCATCTTGCGTGTAACCCCCCTGCTCTTGTATTTTGTGGCCCTATTGAAATACTTTAGTATGCCATATCAACAGGTCTGTCCAACTGTCCTGCCATCTTTAATGACTTATATACATATGACCCAAAGTCTCTGCTTTGAACATCCTTTAAAATTGGTTTGATTTATTTTATACAGTAATTACCTCATACTTCACCACATTGAAATCAGTCTGTCACTCATCAACCTAGTCCATCAATGTGTCAATGTCCTTTTAAAATTCAATGCTGTCCGTCTTACCAGCAACTGATGCTCTATAAATATAGACAATTTAGGGTCGCCTCTTCTTCATCCCTAATTGCCCTTGAGAAAATGGTGGTGAACTGTTGTCTTGAACTGCTCCGGACCCATCTCTTGTAGGTACTCCCAAAGTTCTATGAGGAAGGCTGTTGTAGAATTTTGACACAGAAACAGTAGTCTCATAGTTCCAAGTCAGGATTGTATGTGACTTGGAAAGGAACTTGCAGGTGATGGTATTCCCTTGTCCTTCTTGGTGTTGAAGGTTACGGGTTTGTAAGATACTGTCAAAGGAGACAGTGTGAATAGCTGGATTGTATCATGTAGATGCACTATTGGCACTGCAGCAATGGGTGGCAGGAGGCAGTGTTTAATGTGGTCCATCAAATGTCATTGAGCCATAAGTTATGAATGATACTGAATACTAGTTATTGTAATTTGCACTAAAAAGCCTGAATTGATGATGTATCTAATTAATTTCCAGCAGCATATAATCATGAAAATTATGCCTGTTAGGTTGCTGGAAATGATCAACAGGTATAATGCCGTTAAAGTCATATTGTCCAATTTAATTTAATCTTTGTAGGACTACATGGGTCAGATGAGTGTAAATGCAATAAGAAAAACCTAGTCAATTTACTGTGCAAGCAAGCAAACTCGTAAACAGAGACATATTCTAAAGGCAGGATATATACAATAAAATGACCAAGAAGCTGTAATAAGGTCTGGTATGAGTTAGGCTTTTAGTTGCAGATATTTCTAATGGTACTTATAGTTAAGATTGTCAGGACACTTACAGGAAGAATTTCATTCAAGGGACTGTGAAGCAGTGGAAAGGACCCATCTGTGTGATGTTATCAAGCATGTGGAATGTTTGGAGTCTTGTAACAGCCAATAAGGCCATTTGAAATAATAAGGACTGTGTACATGGGGATGACTGCCTTTGACAAACATTTAGCTTATCATGCAGGGAGTAAGCCATACCGCTGGCCATCATGCATTGAATACACGCACAGAGTGGTACAAGAAAGATATACCTTTCCTTTACTCTTCATTGGACATTGGCCAACACGTGAGAAGTTGCGATTTCCCCCCTCCCCATCCCCATCCCCATCCCCCGAGTATGTGATGAGCACTCCGGGTGTGAGCAGGAACTCCAGGGTGTCATCAGGATCATTCAGACACAGAAACATGAGTAGGCCCTTCGAGCCTGCAGCACCAGGGCTGATCATGCAATTTCATTATCCCATTCCCTCTTTCTCTTCAGCAGCAAGACATGTATTATCTTTTAGTTCTTCTGGTAGAGGATAGAAGGTTGTTGTGAAACAGACCAGTGTTTTTGTACTTTAATTAACAAGATTGAGGGGCAAGGGTGCAGACAGTGTGAAGGATTCAGCTTTGCAGATCATCCAGATGATGAAACGTGTAAACTTTTGATCATAGTCTAAAGTAAGTAAAGGTAGAGTCGCCACTAGCTGTTCTCTCATTAGAAAGAGATGATTGGTGGTGAATTTAACCTGATGGTCAGCACACGAGGGACAAGGTTGAGAAGACGTATCCTTCATGGAAATCACAGCTTGTACAGGAATTAAACCTGCACTGCTGGAGTCACTCTGCATCGAAAAGAAAAACTATAGTATGCTCGATTTCTCACACACCACTCCAATGAGTTATCACACCTCTCTGCAGTTTAAGTGGCACACTCATCACCTTAAACTCAGCCTGGCTCTGTGGATTTGCATCTACTAAATAAATTTGCAATGTGTAATTTGATCCTGCGTCAGGTGGTGTGGGGATTATTGTTAGGTTATCATTCATTTTTGATGTCCATGAGTAAAATGGAAGCTTTTCCGATGGTGTGGGTGGCACAGTGACTGTTAGCACTGTTGCCTCAGCATCAGGGAAACAGGTTTGATCCCAGCCTGGAGTGACTGTCTGTGTGGAATTTGCATATTCCCCCTGCGTCTGCATAGGTTTCCTCCAGGTGCTCCAGTATCCTCCCACAGACTACGCTAGTGGATTAGCCAATGTGTGCAGGGTTATAGGGATAGGTTGGGGGAAGTGGTGGGTCTGGTTGGGATGCCCTTAAGAGGACCAGTACAGACTCGATGGGCTGAATGGGTCCTCCCACACTGTAGGGATTCTATGAACCTGGAAACACACATGTTGTACTTTGGAAATGTCACACTTCACTGGGAGTATCGTGCTGGAAATCAAGCTCTGTAGTCATCACAGAAGAAGTTAAAAGATTTTAAAAGTATGCAATGATGTCCTAGTTTACCTGATTTTTCAGACCCAGGTTGACACAAAAGCCTATTATACACACAGAAACAGGAGAAAAGTGAGTTATGATGGAGAGAACACTGGAAAAGTAGTTCCATGGTTCTTTTTCACCATCCTCCTCTCTGGTTGCTGCTACCAGTTTGCAAGAGAGTCTCTGGCTAATTAATTAAAGACACAGCTATTTGGATAAGAAAGGGTTAAAAGCAGGCATGCAATTCATACAAGACTAAAATCTCTGCACACATCCACTAGGTTTCTCTGACATTCCCTGATCAGTCACAGAATATAAAGGCTAATACCGGAGTAGAGGAGTTCACGCTGGCCAGGCGATCCTTTGGGTACTCGATGTAGTCTTCCACTTCCACAAAGGTTGATCTTCAGAGTTTTTGCCCAAATCCTTCATTTTTAATCACCTTTTCCCTGAACTGTGGTGTCTTGGTTTCGTTGGCTCTGGCTAACCTGCCGAGCCTGTGTCCACTGGTAACGTTATCTCATTACTCTTCCACCAAATAAGGATTTGTACCTTATGTCACTTCCCTTGCTTTCCTCTGAGCCGAGCCAGTTCCAACTGATTCCAGCCAGCACAAGCTGGGGCTCAGGTTTCTTCAGTTCACAAGCTGCTGTTTTTATGGGTGAGCAGTCCCTGGCTGCCAACAACAACATCAACTTGCATTTATATGGCATCTATACTATAGCAAACCAAGACAAAGCACTTCAAAAGAAACATAGATGAGCACTGACACAAAGAATGAGTTCTCAGGAGGAGTGGTTAAATGCTTGATCAAAAAGTTGGTTTTAAAAAAAGTTAAGACTTTTAGCAGAGAAGGAATTGTAATCCAGGAGATTAAGTAGGGGAATTTCAGAGCTTGATACCCAAGTAGCTGAAGGTGGGGTGGTGGCCAAAGAGTAAGAAGTGTTGGAATGCAGACACCTGAGGGCTGCAGAAGGACACGGGGGCAAAGACCAGGGCACAATTGGAAAATAAGAATGGGAATTGTATAATTGGGACACTGAACATAGGTTGGAAAGCTTCAATGAAAATTTAACATTCGTGTGCTCATCTTTTTGTGACAGAACAAAGTCGCTGCAGAGAGCTTGCCTTTATTGGGCTTTACTATTAAGGGATCAAAGGATGATGACCACTCTGGACCCAGTGTACTGTTTCAGCTTTACCACAAGAACGTCCTTTACTACACATTCAAAGCCGAGGACACACACACAGCACAGAGGTAAGTGTTGCTCTCACCCAGCAAGGTTATTCAGCCTAGACTAGGGGCACATACTGAAAAATAGAATTGAGATCTGTGCTTTCTTCAGTTTGAGGTCCTCTGACATGTTTTCACATTTAGCTTTGAGCTTAAGATGGGCTGGGATGTACTGCCAGATGGTTAGTCTTTCCAGCTCTGAATGTAGACCCCAGTACTAATCAGAGTGAAATGCAGTGCAAAACTGAAAAGAAGGTACCATAGTTTGGTTTCATATATGGATACTCAACACAGTCAGAATAAGGCATTGGCATGCGTGTTACCTGACCGGTGTTGTTACAGGAAGATGCAGGATCTTAAAATACCTTGTAATAGCCTGAACAGTGCACACATAGGCTACAACGAATAGGGAGGACAGTGGTGGCACTACTCTGGACTTGCAACAAAACATGGAGCTGGAAAAGAGGATGCCGAGTGGGCAAAGTCTCACCATTCCCTGTGCCAAGTTGGAGCCAGATTCACCATGTTCCTTGACAGTGCCAGGTGATGGCTGACCACCCAGTCCATAGACCCAGCACCTTTGCAGAAGTTTTTAAACAAAGACCTTAATTTGGCAGGTGTGATACTGAATGGACACTTATACAATGGATGCTGTTTGCCCCACTCCTGAGGGGGGCATTAAATGGACAATTCTTTCTTTTGGCTTGGCTGCAGCCACTCCTGCCCAGATGATTCACCACGTCCTGTTCCCAACTCTACATTCATGGAAACAGTTTAGAAACAGGCCATTCGGCCCATCGAGTCCGCACTGACCCTCCAAAGAGCAGCTCTTTCCGTAGCCCTGTAATCCTGTATTTACCATGGTTAACCCACCTAGCCTGTACAGAATGGGCAATTTAACATGGCCAATTCACCTACCTACACATGTTTGGACTGTGGGAGACAACCCACACAGACACATGGAGAGTGTCTGTGTGGAGTCTGCACAGTCACTCAAGGCTGAAAACAAATCTAGGTCCCTGGCGCTATGTGGCAGCAGTGCTAACCACTGAGCCACCATGTCACCCTCCAGGGTGCATGTAGTGCAAACATTTATGCTGTTGGTTCAATGTGCCTAACAAATCTCAGTTTTTTTTAATGAAGAGGTGACAAAGATGGTGGACAGAGCTAAGTTTATGGATGTTGGTAATATGGACTTCCAGAAGACTTTTGAAAATGTCCCACACAAGAGATTGTTAGCTAAGGCAGAAGCCCTTGGAATCGAGGGCAAATTACTGATTTGGAATTGGAAGTTGGTTGAGTGGCAGGAAACAGAATTGGAATAATGGGTAAATATTCTAATTGGTAGGACATGACTGGTGTTCGACAGAGAACTTTGTTGGGGTCTCAATATTTCACAATATTCATCAACAACTTGGATAATGGCATTAAAGGTCACTTATCCAAATTTGCTAGTGATACAAAATTGGGCAACATTGCAGACAGTGTTAACAGCATAAAATTACAATAGGACATGATAGATTAGGTGATAGCAAGAACTGCCGATGCTGGAGTCGGAGATAGCACAGTGTGGAGCTGGAGGAACACAGCAGGCCAG